GCGGGCGTCACTAGTGCGGAGGTGAGTAATGAGGTCAGCGACTGTGGCAAAGGCGGCCAGGTCAGGGAACAGGTACGGCAGCATGAGGCGGCTGAGGGCAGCAGTGGCAGGGTAGGAGTAGCGCGCTACGACAGCGTCATACAAAGACTTTGCAGTCTTGTACTGGCCAAAGTGCGCGCGCTCAGCAGACGGAAGGTGACTACGAACAGCAAGGCGAGCAACAGCGTCACGAGTAGTCCACTGCGAGTGAACCGTACTGTCAGCAGTGGCAGCAGGTGCAGGAGAGACGCCGGACGTGTGATCGAAAAACGAGACTCCATCCTTAGAGTCGCACTGAAGAAAGAGCTGCAGGTCGTCTACCCAAACGTCGAAGTCAACCGCACGACCCTCAGCATCAAAGGTAAGAACATTAGGGCTAGCCATGGGAGCAGTAGCAGCAGTAGCAGGAGAAGCAGCAGTAGCAGCAGGAGCAGCTCGGGCAGGGCAGCGCGGCTCAGTAGGGCAGGGCGGCGCGGCTTGGCAGGGCGGCGCGGCTCGGATGGACGGCGCGGCTCGGCAGGGCGGCGCGGCTCGGCTGGGCGGCGCGGCGCGGCAGGCAGGCGGGTGCTTACCAGGGGCGGGTGCAGGGCAGGGCCGCAGCTGGCGGTTAGGTCAGGGCCGCGACTGGGGCGGCTGTAGGGCAGGGCCGCGACGAGGCGGCGGCAGAGCAGGGCCGCGACGGGGCGGCAGCAGGGCAGGGCCGCGACAAGGCGGTTGCAGGGCAGAGCCGCGACGGGGCGGCGGTAGAGCAGGGCCGCGACGAGCGGCTGTGGGCAGGGCCGCGACGGGTGGCGGCAGGGCAGGGCCGCGACGGGCGGCGAGGTTAGGGCCGCTACGGGGGGCGGCAGGGCAGGGCCGCGACGGGTGGCTAGGTCAGGCCGCGACGGGCGGCTAGGTCAGGCCACGACGGGCGGCTAGGTCAGGCCGCGACGGGCGGCGACAGGGCAGGGCCGCGACGGGCGGCTAGGTCAGGGCCGCGACGGGCCGGTAGGGCAGGGCCGCGACGGGCCGAGAAGGCAGGGCCGCGACGGGCGGCAGTAGGGCAGGGCGCGCTACGGCGCAGGTGAGGCAGGCGCGAGGCGCGCTTCGGGCAGGGCAGGAAAAAAAATGGTATCGTGGTGGGCCCTAAAAAAAACGTTCCCACTAGGGAACCTGCTCTGAAACCATGTCAGAAATGTGAAGGAAAGAATGACTAGAAAGAAAGCAGTACAAGGTTTGTATAGGCAAAACCTAATTTGGGCTGTACCCCATAAGGAGTGCCCCACTACAGCCTAGAGCATATATGCATAGTTCTGACACCTCGCGACGACACTGGATGGCTGCGACGTGCTGCTGGGACGTGATTGGCTGCGACGGCACAACCCCGTCATCGATTGGACAACGGGATCGTGCAGCATCAACAAGCACGAGGGGCTCATCACATTGCCTGCATGGACACTTACGCGAGTTGGCAGTGGACACCAACGGAAAGGACATCGAGAAGCTGTGTGCAGCTGTGCCTCCGGATTTAGCGGAGCTGATTCGAAGGTACCCCGACATTTTCCCCGACGATCTGCCACCTGGACTGCCACCCGAGAGACCTGAGGACCACAAAATCCAGCTGGAACCTGGCGCACAGCCGACTGTTCGGACACAGTGGCGGTTGACCCAGCCGGAACTCGAGGAGCTGCGAAGTCAAATTGACGCACTGTTGGAGAAAGGGTTCATCCGGGCCAGCACATCTCCCTTCGCAGCACCTATCTTGTTCACTCCGAAAAACGACGGCGGGCTTCGCATGTGCATCGACTATCGCGCGCTAAACCGGGTCACCATCAAGTCTCGCTACCCAATCCCACGCACCGACGACCTCCTCGACCAACTTCGCGGCGCTCGCTATTTCTCGAAGATTGACTTACGTGGCGGTTACCACCAGATTCGAGTCTTCGCCGACGACTGTCACAAGACTGCGTTTCGCACACGCTACGGGAGTTACGAATTCACGGTGATGCCTTTCGGCCTCACGAACGCACCTTCGACTTTTCAGTTAACCATGAACAGGGTTTTTCGGGATCTTCTAGACCGATGTGTCATCGTCTACTTGGACGATATCCTGATTTTTAGCAAGGCACGGGAGCAGCATCTCCGCGACCTTAATGCAGTGTTTAAGCGGTTGCAGGAGAACCGACTCATCACCAAGGGCTCTAAGTGCGAGTTTTTTAAGCAGGAGTTGGAGTTTTTGGGCCACGTCATCTCACGCGGCGGCATTAAAATCGACCCGGCGAAAATCAAGACCATACAGGAGTGGAAGTCCCCGACGAATGTCACGGAACTACAGAGTTTTCTGGGGTTCGTGAATTACGTCAGGCGGTTTATCCCAAATATGGCGGGGATAACCGGTCCGCTGACCGACTTGCTGCACAAGGACAAAAACTTCGTGTGGGGGGAGGAGGCAGAGGCGGCTTTCTAGGAGCTGAAGAATTGTCTCGTTTCCCCTCCTGTGCTGCGCATCGCCGACCCATCGAAGTCGTTCGAAGTCGTAACCGACGCCTTTGATTTCGCCATCGGAGCTGTACTACTCCAAGATTTCGGGAACGGGCTGCAGCCAATAGCCTACGAATCACGCAAGCTGCAGGCAGCCGAACGCAACTACCCGATTCACGACAAGGAGATGCTCGCCATAATACACGCGTTCAAACTGTGGCGCTGCTACTTGGTGGGCGCCGACGTCACTGTTCGCACGGACCACAAGTCCCTACAGTACCTGCGAGCTCAGCCCAACCTCAACCCGCGACAAATTCGGTGGCTGGACTACATGGAGAGCCACTTCACCTACCGCATCACGTACAAGAAAGGGGCGAATAACATCGCCGACGCCCTGACCCGACCGACAGTACAATCCGCTGCAGTACTCGTCACCCACTCGAACCCATTACTTACTGGACTATTCACCCACGGCTACACTACGGACCCGTTCTTCACGACTGGAAATCATCAGCAGGCCAAAACGCAGAAGGGGGATTATTACCTAAAAGCCGGAACCGACCGGATTTGGGTTCCCGCTTACAGGCTGCTGCGTGAACTCCTTATCCAGGAGGTCCACGATTCAAATTTCTCCGGACACTTCGGGGTTGATAAGACCCAGAAATTACTGCACCGTCACTATTACTGGCTTGACTCCTCTAACGACGTGCAGCGATATGTGTTCTCATGCAGGGTGTGCCAAGCCATGAAATCGACACGTCAACGGCCAGCTCGGCTGCTGCAACCCCTCGAGCCACCCGAACAACCGTGGCAGCATGTGACAATGGACTTTGTCACAGGGATGCCAGCTGGGCCGTCCGGCAACGACGCCGTACTCGTCGTCGTCGATCGCTTCACGAAGATGGCACACTTTGCCCCATGCCGAACAACAATCACAGCCGAGGAAACTGCGCGCCTCTTCATCTCAACGGTCGTACGACTGCACGGAATCCCTTCAGCGAACATCAGCGACCGAGACCCGAAGTTCACATCGAAATTTTGGAGGGAGACATGGGCGCAGTACGGCACGAAACTACAGTTCTCATCGGCATACCACCCACAGACGGACGGCCAGACCGAGCGGACCAATCAGACCATGGAGCAGCTGATCAGGACAAACTGCCCCGACCCTGCCCGCTGGGAAGAATCGCTCGCCATGTTGGAGTTCGCATTCAACAACGCCCCGTCCAGCACGACTAATCACTCCCCGTTTTTCCTGAATTACGGGATGGATCCGACGGTTCCTACAGCGACTACTCTCGACAACCCAGTCCCGAGGTCACAAACATTTGTGACGGAACTTCAGGAAGTCCGAGAAAAAGCCGCTGACGCAATTCGCAAGGCGAATATCACTTCCCGAAAATACACCGACCTTCTACGACGGGAACTCGTCCTGACAGCTGGGCAACTAGTGCTCCTTGACACGAAGAACCTGCACCTGCCCGGCCCGTCGAAACTACGGCCACGATTTTGTGGGCTATTCAAGATTATCAAGATGGTGACACCTGTCACCGCGAAGCTGTTGCTACCCGACGACTGGCACATTCATGACGCCTTCCACGTCAGCCTGCTTCGAAAGTTCGTGCCAGCCACGACCGACATTGCGCGGCAACAAGCTGCCCCAACTGAACGACCTGTCCCGGAGCCGACTCTTGACCCTTCGAAGATTCTGGCGCATTGGGTTCGCCTTGACGCAGCTGGTCGCCACGTGGATTTCCTCATCCGCTGCACTGATCGCACCAGTGAAGACGACACGTGGGTGTACCCCGACTCGCTGGACGCCTCGTCACTTGTTCGTGATTATTTGGCGCGCAGGCGTGTTTCGGATATTGACCGTCTTTCTTAAGGGGGGGGGGGGGGGTAGTGTAAGGAATTTTCCCGAATTCCTTATCGGGGTTGACTGCTTCGCGTACAACCCGATTTTCGGACTTCGCATGTCGGCCGATCTCAACGCTGTCGAGGCTCCTCGCGTCGCCTTCGGCATTTCCCAATCGCCAAACCTGCACCCAACCTCGCTCGTCCGAGGTTCCCTCCTAGCTAGGCTAGTTCCTACATTAGTCTGTGCCTTCATTGTATTCTCAGTTCGTTCAATCACAGTCTCGTTATTCGTTTACCTGCGCACTCTCTTTTACAACTCATAACAGCTTATATCCGGGTGGAAAAAATCTATCGTTACCAATCCGTTTCAGCCCTAAAAAAATCAATTGTTCGAAGATTCTAGAAATCTTCTCTATCCGCACCGCGACACCAAACCCTGACACAAAGTATGCGAGCTTTTCTCTTCGCGTTCCGATAGAGTGCGTCTCCGTCGTTAGCGACGCCAGTGTACTTGCGATTAAAGCTTGAGAACCAACGGAACACCTCGAATAAGACGTGAGCCCGTAACGCATCCCGTTCTGGTCGGCCTTGCCACAAGTCTCCGAGCCTGTAGCAGCTAGCGCGCTGTCGCCGCGCGGCCGTGCATGGCGGAGCACCACATGATGCTGGACCTGCAGGCGCGCGGCATGCACGCCGCGTCGCTGCCGTTCCAAGCGCACCACCCCGCCGCCCTCGCCCACGTACACCCGCACCACCTCCAGCCGCCGCTGCCGCCGCCGCCGCAGGGCCTTCAGCATCAGCTGTCGCAGCAGCACGCTCCGCCACATGCGCTCCCGTCGCAGCACCCGTCGCACCCGTCGCAACACCCGTCGCAGCAGCACCAGGCCCAGCAACACCGCGCACTGCAGCACCAACCCCCGCAGCAGCAGCAGCAGCAACAGCAGCAGCAAGGCCTTGGCATGGGTATAGCGCAGCCAGGAATGTCCCAGCATCAAGCGCCACGTCATCATCACCTCGCGCTCGTGCAACACCCCAGCGGAGCTGACGTGGAGGTGGGCATGGATGACGTGGACGTGGCGGAGGGTGAGGAGGGCATTATGGACGACGGCGACGACGACGACGGCGGCGAGCACGGCGGCGCGGGGTCGGGCGAGCACGACCACGACGGCGCCATGGCCGCCGGCGACGGCGGAATGGGCGGCGCGATGCGCGGCGGCGGGCCGAACATGCTGTCGCTGTCGTACCACGGCGAGGTGTACGTCTTCGACTGCGTTCCGCCCGAAAAGGTGCGCCGCGCGGGGAGGGGATGGGGGGTTGGGCTGGCTGTATGGGCGGATGGGGCACTGGGCTGCCAAGCTAGGGTGGAGGCGGATGAGGGGCGGTGGTGAGGTGATGCGCCGTGAGGGCTGTTCATGGGGCTGTCACTTGGGGCTGGAAAGGTGGGTTGGAGGGATGCGGAAAAAACAGGGTATCATCAAAATACGAATCCCTAATGTACCAATATGAAGATAAAATGTGTTCGGTTGCCGTTTATTCAGTGAACTAGTTGGGCAAGGCCATGACGCATTGCATGTGGCACATGGCAGTGTCACATGGGGTAAGGTAGGCGCTGCTCTCGTTGCCCTTACAGTGACGTGTTGAACTGCACCGCACACCGTCGCTGTTGTGTTCCGCTCCGCAGTGCTCGTGTGCTCTGCTGAACCCATGCTGCCCTCTCTGCTCCTTCCTATGTTGCCCTCTGTGCGCCTCTGCTTGTACGGCAGGTGCAGGCGGTGCTGCTGCTGCTGGGCGGCAGGGAGGTGCCGCCATCCATGGCGGGCAGTGTGCCCCAGCACCACTTCAAGGTGCCGCACCCCCCTCTCGCCCTCTTCCACCCCCCTCTCGCCCTCTTCCACCCCCCTCTCGCCCTCTTCCACCCCCCTCTCGCCCTCTTCCACCCCCCTCTCGCCCTCTTCCACCCCCCTCTCGCCCTCTTCCACCCCCCTCTCGCCCTCTTCCACCCCCCTCTCGCCCTCTTCCACCCCCCTCTCGCCCTCTTCCACCCCCCTCTCGCCCTCTTCCTCTCCTTCCTATCCCCTGCCCTCCTCTCCTCCCCATGTCCTCTCTGATTTTTCTTCTTCCCAGTTGCTTCCCTCCTTCCCCTTCCCTTCCCCTCATCCTTCCGCGCCCCCCTCCCTCCTCGGTGCATGTGCGTGCCACGCCATGCATCCGCGGTGCTCCGCGCCGTCTCGCACCCGCCTTCACGCCCCGGGTGAATGCCTCTCTTCTTATCGCTCCACCCTTCATTCACCCTCCTTTCTTTCCTTCGCCATGCGCCCATCACCCTCGCCCCCTCCCCTCTCTCCATATGTCCCTCCCCCCGTCCTCCCTCCCTTACACGCATCCCCGTGCTCCCTGCGTGCACACCCGCCATGGCTGGCAGCATGTGGGGGGGGGAGTGGGGGGCGACCTGCCAGTGCGGCTGAACCAGCCGCAGCGCCTGGCGTCGCTCAACCGCTTCCGGGAGAAGCGCAAGGAGCGCAACTTCGACAAGAAGATCCGCTACAGCGTGCGCAAGGAGGTGGCTCAGCGGTGAGGTTTTAAAGCTGTTCACCTTGTGCTCGTGAATAGAATCTGACGTGGACGGTCTTCCACCAAGACATGGTGCTCCTGGGATGCGCCACAGAGTGCGCCAGGAGTCGATGGCGCACATGGCATGGCGTGGTGCATGAATGATGGCCCATTTCTGTGCGGGGTTTCTCCGCAGGCGCCGCTTCACCATCACTTCCGTTTCCCTTCTGTTTCCCCTCCGTTTCTCTGCCCCCTGCCTGCCTCCCGTCGGTGTGCCTGCGCTGCCCTGGGCGTGCCAATGCATGTGGTGGGGGGGAGCATGGTGTGCATGGTGCGGGCGGGGGCGTGCATGCATGGGGGGGGAGCAGGATGTGTCGCAAGAAGGGGCAGTTCGCGTCCAACCGAGGGGGCGGTGCCTTCTTTGAGGATGCGCCGCCCGACATGGGGGAGAGCGCCGCCCACGACCGCCCCGATGCCGCCCCCGAAGCCATGTGAGCCCTGAAGCCATGTGAGCCCTGAAGCCATGTGAGCCCTGAAGCCATGTGAGCCCTGAAGCCATGTGAGCCCTGAAGCCATGTGAGCCCTGAAGCCATGTGAGCCCTGAAGCCATGTGAGCCCTGAAGCCATGTGAGCCCTGAAGCCATGTGAGCCCTGAAGCCATGTGAGCCCTGAAGCCATGTGAGCCCTGAAGCCATGTGAGCCCTGAAGCCATGTGAGCCCTGAAGCCATGTGAGCCCTGAAGCCATGTGAGCCCTGAAGCCATGTGAGTCCTGAAGCCATGTGAGCCCTGAAGCCATGTGAGCCCTGAAGCCATGTGAGCCCTGAAGCCATGTGAGCCGCCCTCGCTCTTCCTTTCCCCACGTCCCTCCCTCTCATCTCCCATCGCCCCCATCCTTCCATCCCTCACGCCCCTCCCGTCTCACGTCGTTCTCATCCTTCCCACCTCTCTGTCACAGTGGCACAGTGGCACAGTGGCGGTGAAGAAAGCATTTCAATGCTCATTCCATCCGATTCCCTCCCACCATGCATGACCCTCCCACCATGCATGACCCTCCCACCATGCATGCCCCTCCCCTCCCACCATGCATGACCCTCCCACCATGCATGCCCCTCCTACCATGCATGCCCCTCCTACCATGCATGCCGCTCCTACCATGCATGCCCCTCCTACCATGCCCCCCCCACCACCACACTGCAGCTGCCAGCACTGCGGCACGGGGGAGAAGGCCACTCCCATGATGCGCCGCGGGCCGCAGGGGCCGCGCACTCTCTGCAACGCATGCGGGCTCATGTGGGCCAACAAGGTGCGTGCGGGCAGTGAGGTGGGGCGATCAGATGAGGGGCCGAGCACATGAGCGGGCGAGCACATGAGCGGGCGAGCACATGAGCGGGCGAGCACATGAGCGGGCGAGCACATGAGCGGGCGAGCACATGAGCGGGCGAGCACATGAGCGGGCGAGCACATGAGCGGGCGAGCACATGAGCGGGCGAGCACATGAGCGGGCGAGCACATGAGCGGGCGAGCACATGAGCGGGCGAGCACATGAGCGGGCGAGCACATGAGCGGGCGAGCACATGAGCGGGCGAGCACATGAGCGGGCGAGCACATGAGCGGGCGAGCACATGAGCGGGCGAGCACATGAGCGGGCGAGCACATGAGCGGGCGAGCACATGAGCGGGCGAGCACATGAGCGGGCGAGCACATGAGCGGGCGAGCACATGAGCGGGCGAGCACATGAGCGGGCGAGCACATGAGCGGGCGAGCACATGAGCGGGCGAGCACATGAGCGGGCGAGCACATGAGCGGGCGAGCACATGAGCGGGCGAGCACATGAGCGGGCGAGCACATGAGCGGGCGAGCACATGAGCGGGCGAGCACATGAGCGGGCGAGCACATGAGCGGGCGAGCACATGAGCGGGCGAGCACATGAGCGGGCGAGCACATGAGCGGGCGAGCACATGAGCGGCGAGCACATGAGCGGGCGAGCACATGAGCGGGCGAGCACATGAGCGGGCGAGCACATGAGCGGGCGAGCACATGAGCGGGCGAGCACATGAGCGGGCGAGCACATGAGCGGGCGAGCACATGAGCGGGCGAGCACATGAGCGGGCGAGCACATGAGCGGGCGAGCACATGAGCGGGCGAGCACATGAGCGGGCGAGCACATGAGCGGGCGAGCACATGAGCGGGCGAGCACATGAGCGGGCGAGCACATGAGCGGGCGAGCACATGAGCGGGCGAGCACATGAGCGGGCGAGCACATGAGCGGGCGAGCACATGAGCGGGCGAGCACATGAGCGGGCCGAGCGCATGAGCGGGCCGAGCGCATGAGCGGGCCGAGCGCATGAGCGGGCCGAGCGCATGAGCGGGCCGAGCGCATGAGCGGGCCGAGCGCATGAGCGGGCCGAGCGCATGAGCGGGCGAGCACATGAGCGGGCCGAGCGCATGAGCGGGCCGAGCGCATGAGCGGGCCGAGCGCATGAGCGGGCCGAGCGCATGAGGGGCCGAGCGCATGAGCATCCCATCCGATCCCATCCCATCCCATCCCATCCCATCCCATCCCATCCCATCCCATCCCATCCCATCCCATCCCATCCCATCCCATCCCATCCCATCCCATCCCATCCCATCCCATCCCATCCCATCCCTTCCCATCCCATCCCTTCCCATCCCTTCCCATCACACGTGCTGCCCTCGCGCACCTCGTCGCCCGCTCCCTCCCCTCCTTCCCTGCGAGCCCAGCTGCCGTGCCCGTCCCCTGCCCGTCTCCGCACCATCCACCCGCCGGCCCTCCTCACTTGCCCCGTGCAGGCCGTGCTGCCACAACTCCTTTGCACGGCACACTTTGCTGTCTTCTTAGCTGTTTCCTCCATTCACCTCCATCCTCTCCTCTTCCCCGCCTCTCCCCCTCCACCGCCCTCTCCTGTACTCTTCCCCCCCTCACTTGATGCCACCTCCACCCCCTCTCGTGCCACACAGGGTGTGCTGCGGGATCTCAGCAAGGGCCCGCCCGCCATCCCCGTGCTCTCGCAGCTGGCATCTGCGCCACAAGGGGTGCAACCCGGGGCAGCCGGGGCGGCAGCAGGGGCAGCAGGCGGCGGTGCACTTGCAGCGATGCATGGCATGGCAGCAGGCAAGGGAGTAGGCACTGAGGCGGAGGCAGAGGCAGGGACGGGACCAGGCTTTCAACAGCAAGCGCAGCAGCAGGTGGAGCAACAGGAGCAGAGCGAGCAGGCAGCACAGCAGCAGCCGCACTTCTTGCAACAGGTGGGTGAAAGCCCTCTTGCTCGGTGAAAAAAAGCTGGAAGTAGATCCAAAAGGGCAGTGGAGAGAAGCCAAGCCCCAGCTTGCATGTCTGCACCCGTGAGGCCGTGAGGGAGCTCTGTTGGCGCGACTCAGCGCAATCTCTTCATTGCACTTCACATATCATGTTCTGCTCTTCCCTGGCCCTCTCTGTTCTGTAGTTTGCTTGGCCAAGCGCATTTCTAGCAGATGCTCTGTTCTTCTGCGAGCATACAGCATAAACTATACTAGCACGTAGATTCGCACTGTGGTCAATTCTTGTGCCACGTATCCCACCTATCCCACCTATAACATGTGTGCCAGACACCCCAACCCGCGGGCCCCAACCTCTTGCCTGCCCACTTGTGCACCACCTTTGCTGCCACTTAGACCATTCACTTATCCAGCTTCACCCTTCATTGTCACCCCTCATTGTCACCCGTCGCATGCATGCCTCTGCCCCTTCAATCCCGCGCAGGCCCCTGCGAGCACCAGTGTGCCACCTGACGCCACGGAGGTGGGGTTCCCGGTGCAGCCCGCCCGCCTGCCCTCGCAGCACCTGCAGCACCTGCACCACCTGGGCATGGGCGCACAGCAAACCGCGGAGGACATGGCACCGCCGCAGCCGCAGCAGCAGGAGGGGGAGGGGGAGGGGGAGGAGCAGCATGATCAAAAGGGCCAGGAGCAGGTGACACATGAGCAGGCGTTGTCTGAAAGGGATGGGCATGAGCAGCAGGAGGAGGGGGAGGAGGAGGGCGAGCAGGGAGGGGAGGGGCAGAGACGGGTGAAGAGGAGGCGAGAGGAGCAAGGGGAGGGAGCGGGTGACGCTGATGGGGAGGAAGGGGGGGTGGAGGGACGCACTGGGGGCGGTGAGGTGGAGGGACGCACTGGGGGCGGTGGGGTGGAGGGCGGGGCGAGAGGGGATGAGGAAGGGGGAGGCGGGGATGGGGAGGGTGGAATGGAGCAGAGTGCGTTTGGCATGGGAGGGCCTGAGAGGAGCCGTGGGGATGGGCGGGGAGGGGCGGGAGAGTGGGTCAGGGAGGGGGATGGGGAGGGGGGTGGAGAGGGGGAGGGAAGGGAAGCGAGAGGTTCAGCAGAAGCAGAGGGGGATGAGGAGGTGGAGGGGGGTCGGCAGAGGGGAGGAGGTGAAGGGTCGGAGGAGGGTGATAGAAGCGAGGGCGAGGGAAGGGTGGAGAGTCCCAGTTGAGGCGAGTGGTTGGTGAGGGCAGTGGGGAGGAGAGGTGTGCTCACATGCACGCGTGGTGCAAGCACACGCTTGTCATTCCCAGCCATTCAGCGCATCAAGCGGCAAATTTATCGCTGCATTGCCTCCCCGGACTGCTTGTGGCTGGCTGCCCAGTTTTGCATTTCCGTCCCGAGTTGATTCACTCCCGCTTGCATGCCGTGAGTCGGTGCCTTGCTTCACGTGGGAGGGGAAAATGCCTGACTGCAAGGGTGGTCAAGGCATGTGTTGAGTACAACTGGAGAATGGCTGGCTGGTGCACTGTTCCACTTGCATATTCTTTATGAGTGCCCCTTGAGGTAGGACAGCAACAAAGTTTTGAAAGTGTGATGGGCGTGTTGCACTTCCATGAGGCACGAGGAATCCTGTCACAGTGCCTTGGGTGCTCTTTGTTGATCTACCACTACAATGTCCTGCTTAACACAACCCCTAACAAATGCTAAGATTAGTTTCAGCCTTCAGGGTCCTTGCTTCCGTATCAGGCATTTTTTTTATATGAATTTCCGGACTGATTTGAGAAGTACGAACTAGCGACTATACCCTACAACCATTCTAATCTAAAATAGAGCGCCCTAGAACGTACCAAGCCTTTTTCAAACGCATTCGGACGTAATCTCCGGGCACGCCCAATTTATCCTTCAGCGAGTCAACGAGCACATCCACATCAACGACTGGTCAGCGGTCTAGGGTTTACTTCTCTCCCCTCCTCACCTATTATCACGCTAGTTATTCGTTCTTCAGCTCCGCCCGCAGTCACAGCGCGCTTACGCTCCGCTCACCATTACGATCCGCTCGTTACGCTTCTCCACCTGCGAGGATCGTCGTCAATCAAGCGACGGTGTGCCGATAGCGACGAGCCATGGCAGCGCAGCCGGCACAGCCGCAGGAGTGGGCGGCGGTGGAGCAACAACCGGAGGTGTCGCGGTCCGTCATCACCTCCGCGAGTGACCGGCTAATTGAACAGGCACGCCTAGGCTTTCCTACCATCAACCCAGCGGATTTGTCGAGGTTTGCTGACTTTGTCTTTTCACGCAACGACGGTTTCTTTGGAAGCCAGTTGTGTGTGGGACGTTGTTAGCTAATGCAGTTGCTGACGCCGCTTAACCCTCCGGGATGCCCCATCGCCGAGCCTATGCCATCCGTCACACGCCGAGCATGCCCTAAAGGCACCTCGTGTCGCAGCGGGTCCCTCGTCGTGACCGCTGGGCGGTCCGAGTGCATCGCGCTCGTCCGCGGCATCGTCGATTAGCGAGCGGCTGAGGCGCTCGTTGTTGTCGCGTTCTCACACGGGGCGTGTTGACATGCAGCTGTAGGGTGGCCACGCATTGGTTAGGCAGACACGGGGAGAGCCGGTGGTGGAGGGGACATTGGAACGTTTTGGAGTCAATGCGTTGCTGAGAGGCAATGGCGCAAGGGAAGTCAAATCGACTGCACAAATTGGTTTGTGCGAAACGCGACGCTCACTCGCTGTCTCCTCCCGCGTCCCTCTGCGCCTTGCCCTCTGTTCGTGCGTGCGTGCGTGCGTGCGTGCGTGCGTGCGTGCGTGCGTGCGTGCGTGTGTGTGCTGCTTTGTGCGTGTGTTGTGTGCGTGCGAGCGGGGTGGCAGGGCAAGGAGACGGTGACGGTGGTGGCGGTGGGGAAGGGCAGCGTGGGCAAGAGCGCAACGCTGAACGCGCTGCTGGGGGAGCGCCTCTTCCCCACGTCGGGCTTCCAGGCGTCCGCGCATCTGCGCGAGGCCGTGCGCCAATACGGCGGCGCCACGTTGCACGTCATCGACACGCCCGGCCTCGTCGACGCCGGCACCGTCAACCGCGCCGCGCTCGACGCCATCATGCAGTGAGTCGCGCCGCAGTGACTCTCCGCGTCGCATGCACCACGCGCATGCGCCATAAACCACGTGCCATGCGCCGTGATGAGAGGAGAGGCCGCCGTGAGCGAAGCGCGGTTCGGCTACATTGCGTCTCTCCGCCCTCCGTCTCTCCGCCTTCCAACCCTGCGTCTCTCCGCCCTCCGCGCCCCTCTCCCCGCTGCCCGTGCTTCCCCCATTCGAGTAGCGCGCTGGTGGGGCGCAGCGTGGACGTGCTGCTGTACGTCGACCGCCTGGACGCGTACCGCACTGCACCATACTGAGCTCCTTTCAATCCCCCCCCGACCCCCAATCCCCCCCACGCTAGTGCGCTGGTGGGGCGGGCTGTGGACGTGCTGCTGTACGTGGAGCGGCTGGACGCGTACCGCACTGCACCATACTGAGCTCCTTTCGATGCCCCACATCCCCCCCACCTCAGCGCGCTAGTGGGGCGCAGCGTGGACGTGGTGCTGTACGTGGAGCGGCTGGACGCCCTTGGTGCTTTCAATGCCCCCCCGCCCGCCACCCCCATCCCTCCCCCCCCCTGACCTCAGCGCGTTGGTGGGGCGCACGGTGGACGTGCTGCTCTATGTGGAGCGGCTGGACGCCCTTGGTGCTTTCAATGCCCCCCCGCCCGCCACCCCCATCCCTCCCCCCCCCTGACCTCAGCGCGTTGGTGGGGCGCACGGTGGACGTGCTGCTCTATGTGGAGCGGCTGGACGCCCTTGGTGCTTTCAATGCCCCCCCCCCCACCACCCCCCCCCCCCCCTCCCCCCTCGCCCCCCGCCCTGTATGGCGTTTCAGCGCGTTGGTGGGGCGCACGGTGGACGTGTTGCTGTATGTGGAGCGGCTGGACGCGTACCGAGTGGACACCATCGACGCGCTCGTCGCTCAGGGGATCTCCAACGCCTTCGGACCCCAGGTGGGTGCCTCCTCCCTCCCCCTTCCCCCCCCTCCCCCTCCATGCACACCAGGTTCCCCTCCTCGCCACCCCCTTCCCCTCTAGTCACCCTGACCCTTCCGCCCATGCGCTCCCCCTTTCCGCCCATGCCCGCCCCCTATCCGCCCATGCCCGCCGTGTCGCATTTGTCTCCCCACTTCTCATCCCGATGCTGCTGCTCAGTCGCGTTCCTCACGTGCCATAGTGACCACGCATACCCCTCGCTCGCTGGGGCTTCACTGCATCACCCCCCTGCTCGCCCCCCTGCTCGCCCCCCTGCGTGTCCCCTCGCCCCCTGCGTGCCTCCCCTGCGCGGATCAGATCTGGAAGCGTGCGGTTGTGGTGTTGACGCGTGCGCAGCTCACCCCATCCGACGGGCGCCCCTTCCCCGACTTCGTGGCGGCGCGCAGCGATGCGCTGCTCGCCATGATCCGCAAGCAGGGTCGGCTGGGGAGGAACGACGAGGTGAGGGGCGCGTGCAGGGGGCGAGGGGCGAGGGTGACGAGGTGAGGGGCTAGGGGCGAGGGATGGTGGTAAGTGGTGGGTGGTGGGTTGGAGTGGCAGCAGGCAGCGCGTGAGGGAAGGGGGTGCGGTTGGATGGGAAGGCGGGTGCAAGGCCGGCAGTGGCAGGGTCGTGGGAGGCGCGTGGGAATGCAGCAGCAGGCTGGGCATTGGAGCATGCAGTGAGGGAGGGGTGGAATGGACATGGGGCAAGGGGCGCCACATGGGGCAAGGGGCGCCACATGGGGCAAGTGGCGCCGCATGGGGGACAGTGGGAGGGGCAGGCATGCATGCTTGGAAGAATTGTCTTCAAGCCATTGCAGCCGCATAACATGGCACTAATACCCATTTCCTTCGTCATTTGCCTTTTGTATGCATGTCATTCTGCAACATGTGTCTCATGGCATGGTATTGGTTGGCGCGGCATGGCATGGCATGGCATGGCATGGCATGGTATTGGTTGGCGCGGCATGGCATGGCATGGCATGGCATGGCATGGCATGGCATGGCAGGTGCCAGTGGCGCTAGTGGAGAGCATGGAGGGGCGCTGTCGAACCAATGACGACGGTGACAAGGTGAGCCCTCTCCTTGCCTTGCCGCTCCCTGCCGCGTCCACCTCGCCGTGCATGAGTGGTGCCGTCCACCTCGGCGTGCATGAGTGGTGCCGTCCACCTCGCCGTGCATGAGTGGTGCCGTCGCAGAGTGTTTTGCTCAACTGCACCGCATCCACCCCCTCATCCCGTCCCTCTCCTGTCCCCCCTTGCTGCCCGCCCCTCCACTGGGTGCCGTCACACGTTTGGGGCGCCAACTTATCCCCGCTGCTTACCTCTGCTTCCCATGCCACGCCTCACACTCCATAGTGTCCACTCTTTACTGTCTCGCCATCATCTTGCCACCCAACCCACCCCACACCCACCGTGCAAATCCTACCGGACGGGCGGGCGTGGTTTTCAGGCCTGGTGGAGGCGCTGCTGGCTGTGGCGCTGAGGCGGCAGCCCTCCTCTTGCCACCACCTCTCACCAAATCCACTCCCCACCCACCCCACACACACCGCTGCAGATCCTACCAGATGGCCGGGCATGGTTCCCGTGCCTAGTGGAAGCGCTGGTGGCGGTGGCGCTGAGGCGGCAGCCGGTGGTGCGCGTGGACGAGCGCATGGCCAGGGGCTTCAACCCCAACCGCGCCGGCAAGCTGCTCATCCCCTTGCTGCTCGCCCTGCAGGTCCGTGCCTCCACACACCATCCTTGCACCTTCCTCCTTGCCCCCCCCCCTCCCTCCCCCTTCAACCCCAACCGCGCCGGCAAGCTGCTCATCCCCTTCCTCCTCGCCCTGCAGGTCCGTGCCCCGCCGCTCCCCCCTCCCTTGCACCCTGCCCTCCCCCCCTTGCACCCACCTCCTCCACCCTTCCCCGTTCCATCCCGCCCTCCCCCCCTACTTGCACCCCTTCCTCTCCTCCCTCCCCCCCTCCCTTCCCAACCCCCCGTTTGTGCCCCTCTCTTCTCCCCTTGCATTCCGCCCTCCCGCCGTTTCAACTCCTTTCAATCCCATCTCACGCATCTGCATCTCTCACCCCACCATCATCTTGCAACCTATTCTAATTTCTCGCCCAGCCCTCATCTCTCACCCTGCCCGCATTTCACCCTTACCCGTATTTCTCACCCTTCCCGCATCTCTCACCCTACCCGCATCTACTCCCACGTGCCCTCATCTCCCACCCCACTGGCATCCCCCACCTGCCTCGGTGTCTCACTGCATGCGTGCAGGTGGTGCTGGTGGCGCTGCCACTGAGGAGGGCCATGGAGTGGGACAAGTCAGAGGAGAAGCGGCACCGGCCGCGGTGGGAGGAGGAGGCGGAGGACTACCGCCGCTCCTCCGCTGCTGCTGTCGCCCGCCGCCGCATCGCCGCCTTCCAGCAGCAACAGGGCAAGGCCAACCCCAAGTGACACCAAACACGGACCTACACAAGCACAGCACAACCAAGCAGCAGAGGAAAAAGTGTTTCGTGTGGTTGCCATGGTGGGATATACCGTACCCTGTAACGTGTTCTGCGTTGAGCCTATAACGCTAGCAACGGGGTAAGCCCGATCGTCCAATTAGCCGAAGCCTTCTGTAACTGTCTAGGCACTAATACTGCAGAAGCTTTAGAATAAACTGTAGCGTGTAGTACTGTACTCCCTGGGAACTATTGTAGGCGACTGTACTGTAGTCTTGTTACGGAGCTACTGGAATATCCTGGCAAATCTCGATGATGGGGAAGGTGTGAGCATGGGATGGATGATACTAAGGGCTAACAGATGGCAAATTAAATAGAAGAGTTACCCACATGATTTTTTATCAAGAAAGAGATAACACGAAAGTGGGGGTTACACGGAAGTAAGCTGTGCAGGTTCATCATTTATAATGAAGCCGCATATAGAGGAATTTGTTTTGCTCGTTTTCTTCCCAACCTTGGGACCTGCCTGAACGACGAGCTTTTTGGGAGGAAACCTAGTTCCTCGAGACCTGTTTCACAGGAACGCCGAGATCTCAGCTGCTGGCAACCGTCCGATCGCCTTTTCATTGTTAATCCGTGAGTTGCCAGGCGTCACGTCGCAGCGCGATCGGTTGGCCTCCAGATCAATCGCTTCCGTAGATTTCTCGGTTGCTTGCTTTCGCAGTTCGTTGACGCTGACGGAACAAAAATCGAAGCCCTAGCAGCCTCGAGCATACCTTAGATTCGAGAGCACAACCACAGTAACATTTCAGTCAGTCAACGAGAAGCAGTGCCGTGCTTCCGTGCTTCATCCTCAAGCAGCGGCGAGCTTGACGGAAGAGCGATTCCAACCGAGTTTGGGCAGCCGAAACGCTGAAATTTTGCTGCCCAGAATCGACTTGGTCCTAGATGACCGAGCCGCGACAATCTCCTCCGGCTGTGCCGAACCTCGAGGCTATGCTTGGAGCATTTGTTTCGGACAGCTTGCCATTGGCTGCTGAACCCCTCCCGTCCATTCTCCTCCAATCACAACACAGAGCACGCCTTTCCCGGGATGAACTACTTTCGCTATGGGCAGCCGACCTGCTTTCCCCCGTCTACCCACCACCGTTCCTTCTCTCCACCCGAGCTCCATCCACCTTTCCGCCTTGGAGCTGCCGTGCATTCCCAACACCACAAAGGCACTCGTCATTCTCATTCATTCCACCACACCCGTTCGAGTTATTACTTGCTTCTGACAGCTACCACCTGGTTTCAACTCCCAGTTCTTGAGACTTGTAATTTCCCGGTCGCTTAGCCTCCCGCTCGTACAATGGCCGCGCGGAACGCCTCAGCTATCCAGTTTACGAGCCCCTCAATCGATCACGAGTTCTGGAAGGACTTCAGCGAAGAAGAATGCACGTGGCTGTACGCGCCGCTTACTTCCTTGGGCCTAGATCACGAGTTCTGGAAGGATTTCAGCGAGGAAGACTGCACATGGCTGTCTGGCCCGCTGGACTTCCCGGCGCCTGCAGATACATCCATCGATCATGCGTTTTGGGAGGACTACAGCGAGGAGGAGCAGACGTGGCTGTACGTCCCGGGGGTTCGTTTTTGTGAACCCATTGTGACCCTCACGTTCGGAGCTGCAGCTGCTGCCAGCCACACTCTGACCAGCAGCAGCAGCCGCAGCAACGGTAGCAGCAGCATCAGCAGCGACGGCGACGACAGCAGCATCGCTAGCGTTGCCAGCAGCAGCACTCTCGGCAACAGTATCATTCGCAGCAGGGGCCTCGGCAGCAGCAGCAGCAGCAGCGGCAGCGACTGCAGCAGGTCGAAGCGTGGCAGCAGTGCAGAGGCGTGCATGAGCAAGAGGCGGCAGCAGCGGCTGCACGCCGTTGCGGTGCGCGTGGGGCGGTTGAACGAGGACGAGCAGAGCACTGCGCGCTCCCCCCGTGCGTCGCTGGGCTTCTCCCCGCTGCGACCCACCAACCCCGCGAGTCAGCCGCGCAGCAACACGCCCACGCCCACGCACGTCACGGGTGCACGCGCTGCTGTCACCACCGCTGCTGTCACCTCCGCTACTGCGCAGATCGCTGCTGTCACCAGCGCTGCAGTTAAGACTGCTTCCGTGAAGAGCGTTGCTGTGAAAAGCGTTCCTGTTAAGGCCGCGGTTTCAGCAGCCAAGGGAACGCGTGCATTTGCAGCTGCACCAGCCAAGGCCGCTGCTGTTAGAAGCGTTGCTGTTAAGCCTGCAGCTGCAGCAGCTAAAGGAGCGCCAGCCAAGGCCACTCGTGTGACGCCTGCAGCTGCTAAGAAGGTTAAGAGCAGCCCAGTGGGGTCGGTGGCAACAAAAGCGACAGCAGAGAAGGTGAGGGAGCAGGGCAATGGGAGGGCAGCACACACGGCGGTGCGTGCAGCAGCAGCAGGGAATGCGACGTTGGGAGGGGTGGAGGCAGCAGGAGGGCGAGCAGCAGGTGTGGGGTGGGGTTCAGGGCGTGGTGGCGGTGGTGCGAGTGGCATCCCTCAGCCTGGGCAGAGCAGGGCAGCGCACACGGCTGCAGCGGCTAAGGCAGTGCAGGCTGCGCCTCACAGCACTCGTAAGCCGGCTGCTCCAGCAGCAGCAGTGCCCGCCACTCGCATTCCCAAGCCACGCCCCGCAGCACCCCAGGGAAGTAGTGGACGGTAGCAGAAGCAGCAGCATTAGCAATAGCATCATCAGTAATAGTACTAGGAACGAGCAGATCCTGAGCCATCTAATGGGATGTGGATGGAGGGAGGTATGGTGCGGGTGGGTGGAATGAGCATGGGTGGGGGCTGGTGGCAGGCGCATGGCGGGACTTACCCCTTTTTGCACCCTGCTTGCAGGGTGTTGTGGAAGAGATGGCAGGAGAGGTGGAGGAGTGTGGTCAGCTGGAGGGTGGTCTGTGGAGAGTCTCATGGCTGAGGGTGGCAAAGAATCTTCTGCCAGCGTTACCTGATTCTTAGCATAGATATTTAGTCATCGCTTAGGTTCATTGTTCTCTTAGCATCTTGTAATTATTATAATGCAAAGACCATACGTGGTTTCATTCCTTGCGTTAGTGGGTGTTGGAGGTAGGAACAGGAGGAAGGCGGGCGTGTTTATTTCCGTTGTCATTCATTGGTGTGTGTGATTCTCCATTTCCAGCTTCCCATTGTCATGTTGCTGCTGTGATTATCCCATGTCATCTTCCCGGTCTTGTTTTTCCACATTCATATTGGAAGTTTCTTGTTCTCCTCATTGGCATCGTAGTCACGTTCTCAGTGTCATTGTCCCAACATTGCGATTCCATCTTCATGTCGCCGCTGTCATGACCCACCACCATGATTCCTTCAAGTGGCATGATATGTAGAACTGATTTAAATTTCACATTCATGTTTTCATCTTCTTTTGCCATTTTCTTATTGTCGTTTTCCCTCTCCTGCCTCCGAGTGTTGTTTCTCATGGTCATCTTGTCCTACTGGCATGTTTGCACTAGTCATTTTTGCACAAACACATTTCAGTTGTCATCTTTCTATTGGCATCATCCCACAATCTGTTCTCTTTGTCATCATTCTACCACCATGATTCCAATGTCATGTTCCTGCTCTGATGTTCCCACTGTCATTTTTCCACATCCATTTACCCATCGTCATGCCATTCTCATCCCCCATTGTGAATTTCACACTTCCATCTGTCACCTCTTCATTGTCACGCTCTGGACTGTTGCTATCGTTTTTCCCATCCCCCAATTTCAATGTTCTTGTTTTAGAATTTTCACTATTTTTTCTCATTTCTGCTTTCATATTTCCATTGAACTCAATCACCACAGGTTTTGGTTATGGTTAACCTCCCTTGCATGCCATCTTTGTTTGTTATTGCAAATTTTCCTCCCCCTCTTTCCTCTGCCCCTTCTCCCTCTGCCTCCCCATTGCGCTGCTGTCTGGTGTGAATTGACTCGACATGAACTCGTCGTGTCCTTGCGCTTGTCAGCTGTGCCTACATGCATCCGATCCGACTTCCTGATTCCACTATTCGGCCCACCATGCCGACCATGGCATCGTACGAACTTTCAACATCCCCCTTTCAGTTGCCCTTTGTCCACTCTCCCCTTGTCATTTTCGCACTTCCCGCTGATATGTTATTACTATTTTTTGTGTAATCTCTCACTTTCAACAACCCCATGTCGGCATTTCCTTTGGACGATTCCTCTAAGTCCAATTTCCCAATTTATATCCTTTGAAGCCGAATTTCCACTCTCAAATTCCACACTGTCAGTTCCCCTTTGCCCGTTTCCCACTGTCGCTTGTCTAAATCCGAAGAGGAAATGTGGCTGCATCTGAGCTTGCCCTAGGGAACTGCATTGCTCGCTCCCCTTTCTTCAACCATCCATTTCCCCTTTCATATGCCATGCATTCTGACATGGATGTTGCATGCATGGCCTTCCATCAAGGTGCCTGCATTGAAGAGCACATCCCCTCCATCCGCCTCACTCAATCTCACTGCACCCCATGCCTTTTCCTCGTGCTCAAGGTTTCTCATATCTCACTTTGCTCGTGCGTGTGTGCATGATATAGCTGCTTTCCTTTCTCGTGTGTGCATGTTTACCCTGTTTGCTCATATTACTTTTTCATTCCCCCATAGGCGTTTTTCCACCAGTCAATGTTGCTCTTTTATTCTTCTCGTATTCTTCCAATACCGTTATCACACTCCTAGTCAAGTCAAGTCCCCGTTAAGACAGTCTCTGGTGAAGTTCTTATTCCCATGTCTCCAGCCTACTTTCCAGTTGCCATTTTTCTTGTTAACAGCATATTATCATATTTCCACTCAACGTTTCCTCTTCGTTTGACCTGTCACCCTTCCGTTTTCAGTTCCTGAGCCATCGCACAGACTGCCCATTGTGCAGTTCACTCCTCATTCTCATTTGTCCTGCCATCTTCCATCGCAGTTTCTAACCATTTTCATCCACATTGTATTCTTTCTCATTCACAATCTGTCTATCATCTTCTCATCGCCAGTTCCAACCATTCTTCTTTCCATTAACATTTGCTGAGTTGAGCCATTTCATGTTGCCATTTTCCCTGTCCCTTCCCATTGACAATTGTCACATTCCCACTGCCGTTTCCCCTTTCCCCCCCAGCCAGCCAGTCATCTAACCACTGAGCATTCTTTCAATTTCCGTGTCACCTGCCCATTTCAATCAGTCTGCCTGTCAAATTCGTTTTCCATTGCCTCCTCCTTGCGCTGTTTCCCCATGCATGGGCCGAACAGGCTCGCCGATGCACCTACCCATCATCCCAGCACCCATCTCTCCATTTCATGCCTGTCAGTCATACCAGCCATGCCTGCAATGCCACGCAGGGCAGGGCAGATGTGGTATGCCTTCCCTCTCTCCGCTCCCCTCTGTCCTTCCCACTGATTGCTTGTCAACATTCATGCCTTTCCTGTGACTGCCATTGCAGCAGGCGCACCGTCAGCCATGCCAAGCCATTGGCTCCGCCGAGCCATTCTCACAAGTATAGTTCTCCACAGCTGATTGTACCACTCAGAGTTATCCATTCACCTTCCTTTGTCATTCGCTGAGACGCATGTTACCAATCTTCAATCAACCTCTCATTGATCTTCTCCTGCCAACTTCCGATTCTCAGATTCCCACGTCCGGGTTTTCCAGCCAATTCCGCACTGTTATTGCATTGCCTGCTATGCCTGCCATCCACATGTGCATGCCTGCCATGCGTGCTGCTGAACAACCGCCATAATCCAGCACCGTACCGCGTGATTCACCACGTGTGCATCATAAGCCTGGTGTACAATGTGTGAGCATGCATGTGTGCACACAGTGCTATGACGCCTGACTTGATGCACTAGAGCAAATGCCACATGCAGGCCTGGCGTGTGAGCATGCTTGAGAGCAAATACCACGTGGGTGAATGGAAGCCCAAGCAACTGGATGCTCCTCCTCTGCACTCACATCACATGCCTTATGCACTCCATGCCTTATGGTAAGGTTGTACGTTAGCTACAAAAAATCTGTGCCATGCATTGGTACTCGAGGGGAGGACAGTGAGTGGGAGTGGCGTTGACCGCCGTTGACTCGAGCAAGCGAGTGTGGGAGGTGCGAGTGTGGGAGGTGCGAGTGTGGGAGGAGTGAGTGTGGGAGGTGCGAGTGTGGGAGGTGCGAGTGAGGGAGGTGCGAGTGTGGGAGGTGCGAGTGTGGGAGGTGCGAGTGTGGGAGGTGCGAGTGTGGGAGGCAGTGAGGGTGGTGGGGGAAGCAAGAGGCATGTAGATCGTGAAAGGTTGGGTTGGAGTGGCAAAGAGGAGGAGGGCTCAAGAGACGAGCGGCAAAATCCTTTTACGAGAGGCTGTGGCGAATGGGGAAGGGGTTGGGAAACAGGCGGGGGGCATGGCATGTGGTGCGGGATGGATGGATGGGCTGTTGTGCTGTGGGTTGCCATTCCACTCAACTCCCATTCCCACTTTCCCTGCCAGCCCACTTTCCCTGCCAGCCCACTTTCCCTGCCAGCCCACTTACCAGTACCGTTCTTCTTGTTAAGAGTCGAATTCCACTTTGCACGTTCATTCCTCTCAACCTCCTTGTTGGTTGCCGAGTCTTTTTACAACAGCAAAGCTTCCAGGGTGATCGTCCCATTGCAATCCCTCCTCGCAGTCACATTCCCACTGCCCTGCTGCTCACATTGTCATGGTGCTGCTATCGTGTTCACATTCTAATTTTATTGCCCTTTTTTCTCCCTCACCTTTCCAGTGATGTTATTCTTATTGTCATCTTGCTATCATCTTCTCGTTTTCACGTTCCTGCTGCCTTTCTCCCCTCCCTCGCATATTCCTTCTTGTCTTCTCTCAGCATGCTCTCATCTCATGGTCACAATCCCAAAATCATGTTCCATGCGCATTTCCTCATTCACGTGAACCCATGTCATGATCACACGCACTGCCATTTACTCATTGCCATCTGCCCTTTTCAAATGGTCTTCTCCTCATGACCCCATTTGGTCATTGCGATTCTTTCTTCCCTTAGTTATCCTCCTCCCATTTTCATTCCCCCGTAGTCAGTTCCCCTCTCTTGCATCCCCACTGCCTAAAGTTGCGGTTCCATTGTCGCTATGTCATTTGTTGTCACATGCCATTCTTCCCACTCCAGCAAGGGTGGAGTGGAGTGCCTGAAAGGTTGGTGGGACGGAGGATGGGGGATTCAAGCAGGGCAAGGGGGTTGGGGAATGTCGTGCGAGTTACAGACGTTTTTTCTTGCCGCCCAACGTCATTCCGCATATGTCTTCCCCACCTTTTTCGCATTGTTATCTGTACGCTTGCAAGTTCTCATTGTCGTATTCCTGCCTTCAACTGTGTAGGACTTTTATTTTTCCTGTTGGCTTCCCATTCCCACTTGGCTAACCTGCTCCGTTGTCATAGTGCATGTTCAATCCCTTTTGTCACCGCTGTTTTCCAATTCAATCTTGAGTTTTCGCTTCTCAATCTTGTCATCTTGCTGTGAGTCGTCTCATGATACTGCCATTCCTTTCTGTCAATATCTGCCATCGCTTCCCGTTTCAATCTCATGTCCTCTCCAGTTCCCTTCTCATTCATACCAGCTGTCCTGCCGCCAGCTTCTCAAAACCATTTTCCAGTCAACTTTCCAACGCCTTCTTTTCCATCTCCTTACAGTTCCACCCTCCATTGCCGAATTCTCAGCCGCCTTGCGTGCCTGCCAGTCCCTTGCGTGCCTGCCATGCCTGCTAGCCAACCAGCATCATGCAGCTCGGAATTCTTCACCACGTGAACCCAAAAGCAGAAACCTGCTCCAATCCAAGTGTGAGCATGCGTAGCGTGGGTACACATGGCGCTGTGACTGCAAGTTTGGATCAACGGAGAAGGGGGTGGTGGTGCAGGATGGATGGGCTGCTCACTGGACTCGCTTGCCGTTGCAGTCACTGTCGCATTCTCGTTCTCTTGTTCAATTTCCGTCCTCCGTTTCCCCAGTGAAGCTTTCCAGACACCTGCCATTTTGCTGAGTCTTCTCATACTGCCGTCATCTGTCCAGCCTCTTTGCATAACCATTTCTCAATCAACTTCTCACCAGCCATCCTCTCACCGATTGCCATCCTCTTGTTTCCCATTCAACTTCCCACTGCCATTATTCACCAGCTTCCCACTGCCCTTTTGCGACAACTTTCTATTGCCATTTTTCAATGAACTTTTCATTCCCAGTAGTGTTGTTAATTCCTCTTGTTTCTTTCTGTCCAACCAGCAGCTTCCAAATTGCTGATTGGTATATCCTCGACGACTCATCGGGCCTTGTGCCCAGTCAGCTTCACATCCCTTGGAATACTCCTCTGCCATTTCCTCACCTTGCACCGCCTCCCCATGCATAGGCCGCACCGACTCGCCCATCCACCCGTCCTTCTGCGAGCATAGGAGGGGCGAGCATGGAAGTTGTGGGTGTGTGTGTGAGCCAGGCAAGTCGTGTTTGTCAGCCGTTGCATGTCAGCTGAAGCGTGTCATGGCATTGCGTATCTATCGCAGGAGAGGCATCTCCCTTTGGCAGGGCAGGAGGAGTTTGGGTGGGGGAGAGCAGCATGCAAGGGAAGAAGGAATGGGTAAGGGGACCTCGGGTAGTTTCCACGGGAGATTAATGTGTACGGCGAACTTGTTTTGTTCGAGGCATTCATGAAACCACCGTTGTGAATCATCATTTCTCTTGATAGCTGCAATGTTGTGAAATGAAATATGTTTGATTAATGCACTCTAGGCGGTTGACGTGCTTAGCTGGATTCAGGATGTCAAAATGCTTTACCTTATTTAACTTGAAAGAAGAAATTCCACAAAGGATGCATAGTTAACTATGTATCACTGTTATCATATAACGGATCGGCACATAAACGCATTTGTTTATTTCATTCTCATCCCAACCTTGGGACCTGGCGAGACAAGCATTTTGGGGGAGAAACCCTACTTCCTCGAGACTTGTTCTTGAGTACTTCGAGATCTCCTGAGCTGCTGAGGACCATTCGATTTCCGGGCGAACACAGCGATCTTCCGATTAGGACGCGCAACGGCGCAGTGCGATCCGATCGGACCCCGTCGTATTCGCGTCCGCTGATCAGTTTGTACTTCTCGTTCGTTGACGTTGACGGAACGAAACACAAGCCATGGCAGCCTCGAGCGTAGTTTCGGTCGGAGACTACACCTATAGGAACCCCATTTTCAGTCAACTGAAAAAAGCGTCGTGTTTCCGCAGACGAATCGCCGGTTCAGCAGCGGCGAGCTTGACGGAAGGACGATTGGGCATGAGTTTGGGCAGCAAAAAACGCTGAGATTTCGCTGCCCAAAACCGCGCTGGTTGGAGGACTTGGCCTGGGCCCTCGGCTTGGAAGTCAGCGGCGACAAAACCTGAGATCGCGCTTGGAGCAACGAAATCGGCCAGCATGCCATTGGCTGCCCGACCTCTCCGTAGGTTCGGCACTAACCACAAACCAGAGCACGCTCTTTACGGAATGAAAACAAAAATCTATTGCGGGCAGCAATTTCTTCCTCTCGCCTGCCCAGCGTATGCGACTGCTCCATCCACCCTTTCGCCTTGGAGCTGTCGTGCCTTTCGAGCACTAGAAAGCCACTCGTCAATACCATTCATACCACAACACCTGTTTTAGTTCCTACTGCCTGCTGATAGCTATCACCTGCTATCAACTTCCGCTTCTCGAGACTTGTATTTTCCTGGTTCTTTAAAGTCCCGCTCGTACAATGGCCTCCGCCTCCGCTTTCCAGTTTACGAGTCGTTCGATCGATCACGAATTCTGGAAGGACTTCAGCGAGGCGGATTGCACATGGCTGTACGCGCCACTGACGTCATTGGCCATTGATCACGAGTTTTGGAAGGAGTTCAGCGAGGAAGACTGCACGTGGCTGTCGGGCCCGCTGGGCTTCCCTGCGCCTATAGACACCTCCATCGATCACGCGTTCTGGGAGGACTTCAGCGACGAGGAGCAGACGTGGCTGTACGTCCCGGGGGTTGCCTTTGTTGAGCCCGTCGTGACTCTGACGTTCGGAGCTGCAGCTGCTGCCAGCAGCACTCCGACCAGCACCAGCAGCAACAGCAGCACCAGCAGCAACAGCGACGACAGCAGCATGGCTAGCGTTGCCAGCAGCAGTATCATTCGCAGCAGGAGCATCAGCATCAGCAGCAGCAGCAGCAGCAGCAGCAGCAGCAGCAGCAGCAGCAGCAGCAGCAGCAGCAGCAGCAGCAACGGCAGCGACCGCACGAAGCGTGGCAGCAGCGCAGTGACGTGCATGAGCAAGAGGCGGCAGCAGCGGCTGCACGCCGTTGCGGTGTGCGTGGGGCAGTTGAACGAGGACGAGCAGAGCACTGCGCGCTCCCCCCGTGCGTCGCTGGGCTTCTCCCCGCTGCGACCCACCAAGCCCGTGAGTCAGCCGCGCAGCAACACGCCCACGCCCACGCACGTCATGGGTGCACGCGCTGCTGCCAGCACCGCTGATGTGAAGACCGCTGCTGTCAGCATCGACGTTGTGAAGAGTGCTGCTGTTTGCAGCCCTGCTGTGAAGACCGCTTCTGTGAAGAATGTTCCTGGTAAGGCCGCAGCTGCCAAGGGAACGCCAGTCAAGGGTGCAGCTGCAGCTGCACCAGTCAAGGCTGCTGTTAAGCCTAAAGCTGCAGCAGTTAATAGTTCGCCAGCCAAGGCCGCAACTGTGACGCCTGCAGGTGGTAAGAGTGTGGCTGTTAAGAATGCTGCTGTTAAGCCGAGCCCAGTGAGGGTGCCTACAAAAGCAGCAGCAGAGAAGGTGAGGGAGCAGGGCAATGGGAGGGCAGCACACACGGTGCGTACAGCAGCAGGGAAGGCGGCGTTGGGAGGGGTGGAGGCAGCAGGAGGGCGAGCAGCAGGTGTGGGGTCGAGTTCAGGGCGTGGTGGCGGTGGTGCGACTTCAATCCCTAAGCCTGGGCAGAGCAGGGCAGCGCACACGGCTGCAGCGGCTAAGGCAGTGCAGGCTGCGCCTCACAGCACTCGCAACCCGCCTGCTGCAGCCGCAGCACTGCCGGCCACTCGCATTCCCAAGCCACGCCTTGCAGCATCCCAGGGAAGCAGTGCACGGTAGCAGCTTAGGAAGGCAGTGAATGGTGAAGCGGCAGCAGCAGCACTAGCAGTTGCATCATCAGTGGTAGTACTTGTAACAAGCAGATCATGAGCCATTTCCGAGGTATGTGGAGGGAGTTGGTGCGGGTCGGTTGAGCATGGCTGGTGGGGGCTGGTGGCAGGCGCATGGCGGGACTTACCCCTTTTTGCACCCTGCTTGCAGGGTGTTGTGGGAGAGATGGCAGGAGAGGTGGAGGCATGTGGTCAGCTGGAGGGCGGTCTGTGGGGAGGCTCGTGGATGGGCATGGCCATGGATCTGCTGCAACTGCTTTCATTCCACTAATTATAGCTTAGAAATTCGTTCCTAGTTTAATTTCATTGTGTTATTAGCTTTCTGTTATCAATTATACTGCCAAGGTCATATGATATGTGGTGTCATTCCCTTGTACTAGCTGGTGTTGGTTGGAGGAATGGAGGGGTGAAGCCGGAGGAGGGGAGTTTGGAATGGTTTGAAGTTGGGCCGTTGCTGTTGTCATCTCCCTCTTGCCAGTCTCACCCCTTGAAGAGGGGTTTTCCCACTATTGCCCAACGCTCATCTTACCACCATCATTTTCTCATTGCCGCGCTTCTCGCTGTCAGATCCCCATTGCCGTTTTTTTCGTGAACTCATTGACTTCATCCTCTGCTGTGCTCCCCTCCCCTCCCCTCTCATCTTTTCATCATTGCCCATTGCTCACTCACATCATCCCCTGCTATGATGCTCCCATTCCATGCTTCCACTATCATCATGCATGTCCCCAATTTCATGTTTCCACAGCCATCTTTGCATTGTCATCAACTCATTCTCATCCCCCCACCATGATTCTCAATCAAATCCACTGTCAAATTACACTCTGCTGGTTCTGCCATCATTGACATTATTCTGAGTCAGGTTCCCAAGTCAGGTTCCCAAGTCAGGTTCCCAAGTCAGGTTACCCTGTCAAGTTCCCAAGTCAAGTTCCCAAGTCAGGTTCCCAAGTCAGGTTCCCAAGTCAGGTTCCCAAGTCAGGTTCCCAAGTCAGGTTCCCAAGTCAGGTTCCCAAGTCAGGTTCCCAAGTCAGGTTCCCAAGTCAGGTTCCCAAGTCAGGTTCCCAAGTCAGGTTCCCAAGTCAAGTTCCCAAGTCAGGTTCCCAAGTCAGGTTCCCAAGTCAGGTTCCCAAGTCAGGTTCCCAAGTCAAGTTCCCAAGTCAGGTTACCCTGTCAGGTTCCCCAGCCCGGTTCCCCAGTAAGGTTCCCCATTGTCAGTCTCTTCAGTCTCTTTTTTACGATTTCCGTCCGATTACCCTCAGTCCGGATCCCCTCAGTCAGGTTCTTCTCAGTCAGGTTCTTCTCAGTCAGGTTCTTCTCAGTCAGGTTCTTCTCAGTCAGGTTCTCCTCAGTCAGGTTCTCCTCAGTCAGGTTCTTCTCAGTCAGCTTCTTCTCAGTCAGGTTCTCCTCAGTCAGGTTCTTCTCAGTCAGGTTCTTCTCAGTCAGGTTCTTCTCAGTCAGGTTCTTCTCAGTCAGGTTCTTCTCAGTCAGGTTCTTCTCAGTCAGGTTCTTCTCAGTCAGGTTCTTCTCAGTCAGGTTCTTCTCAGACAGGATCCCCACTGCTTCCACCACCATGTGTTGTGATCCACCGCTCTCTGCCCTTGCCTTGCATGAGAGCTGTCCCAAGGAAACGCCATATCTCTCCCTCCTTCCTTCTTCCCCATCAGTCTTCCCATGCATTCTGGCATATCAAGTAATGCAGCACATGACTTGTGGTTCAAATGTGCATGCTATGCCTTTCTGCTCATCCCATTTCATTTCCACATACACCATAGTCATTATTCCACTGTCATCTCGCTCCCAACTCCCATTTCCTTGTTAACATTCTCATTATTCCATTCTGTTTATCCCACTCTCATGCTTCCAGTCAGATCACGATCGCATCATCATTTGCACATCACCTTGTCATCCCCATGCTTCCAACCCTTCGCTTGTCGTGTTTCTGGTCATTTCTCCTGCCCATTTGACTCGTCTAGTCAGGTTCTTACTGCCATTCGTCTTATCAATTTCCCATTGATGCTCTTCCAATCAATTCATCATCTCATGCTGTCCAATCAGGTGGCCACCAGTTTCAAGCCAAAATGCTTTTGCCATTCTTCCTGTTACCTTTCCCCATTGTCCTTTTCCATTGATTTCTCATCGTCGTTTCCCAGCCAGATTCCCACTGCCACGTCGCCCATGCAGTCGCCCATGCAGTCGCCCATGCAGTCGCCCATGCAGTCGCCCATGCAGTCGCCCATGCACTCGCCCATGCAGTCGCCCATGCAGTCGCCCATGCAGTCGCCCATGCAGTCGCCCATGCAGTCGCCCATGCACTCGCCCATGCAGTCGCCCATGCAGTCGCCCATGCAGTCGCCCATGCACTCGCCCATGCACTCGCCCATGCACTCGCCCATGCAGTCGCCCATGCAGTCGCCCATGCACTCGCCCATGCAGTCGCCCATGCAGTCGCCCATTGCCGGTTGACCTGTCAACAGCACATGTGTGCTTTACCAGTGCATTGCCCATGGCCATCCTCCCATGCCAGTTCTTCCCTCAGCCATGGGCTCCTCCTCGCTCTGCTCCCTCATGCATGCATGCATGTGCCGCACACGCTCGGCCATCCACCTGGGCATCATCCATCCTTTCCACTGTTTGCCATGCCTGCCACACCTGCCACGCGTGCCATGCCTACCATGCCTGCCGGTGTGAGGCAGTGAGGCATGGTGGGTGGAGCATGGTGTAATGCAGTGAGGCATGGTGGGGGGAGCATGAGGCATGGCATGGATTGTTAACGGTGGGAATGGAGTGGCAATGAGAAGGGGAGATGGAGGGATGTGAGGCATCTGGTTTGTAAGAACATTTCAGTCGATGATGTGCCAACCACTGCTGCATTTGTAAACTTCACCATGGCATGCTGGCACACCAGTCCATGCCGTGTTGGCATGCTGGCACACCAGTCCATGCCGTGTTGGCATGCTGGCACACCAGTCCATGCCGTGTTGGCATGCTGGCACACCAGTCCATGCCGTGTTGGCATGCTGGCACACCAGTCCATGCCGTGTTGGCATGCTGGCACACCAGTCCATGCCGTGTTGGTATGCTGGCACACCAGTCCATGCCGTGTTGGCATGCTGGCACACCAGTCCATGCCGTGTTGGTATGCTGGCACACCAGTCCATGCCGTGTTGGCATGCTGGCACACCAGTCCATGCCGTGTTGGCATGCTGGCACACCAGTCCATGCCGTGTTGGCATGCTGGCACACCAGTCCATGCCGTGTTGGCATGCTGGCACACCAGTCCATGCCGTGTTGGCATGCTGGCACACCAGTCCATGCCGTGTTGGTATGCTGGCACACCAGTCCATGCCGTGTTGGCATGCTGGCACACCAGTCCATGCCGTGTTGGTATGCTGGCACACCAGTCCATGCCGTGTTGGCATGCTGGCACACCAGTCCATGCCGTGTTGGTATGCTGGCACACCAGTCCATGCCGTGTTGGCATGCTGGCACACCAGTCCATGCCGTGTTGGCATGCTGGCACACCAGTCCATGCCGTGTGACCGCTGTCCCCCCTCTAGAATTGTCTGAGACGGAAATTCGAGCTGAGCAAAGCGCTGCGCAAAGATATAGAGAAGCGGGGTGAGAGTGGCAGGGGTCCGTTGGGTGAAAGAATGCACAATCCGATTGTCAATGCCCAGAGCTGCTGATGCTTCAACGCCTGTTGCGCATTGATCAGCCTTCACTCACGCATGTGTCCCTCCTGCTTTGACCACGTATGACTGCCTTGACGCTCGCTGACTCAACGCCTCACTTTATTCCGCACTCACCTGGACCTCTGCTGGCAGGCTGTACCGACCTTTCAATAAGCTCGCCTCACCTCTCAAGCACCACTCGTCCTACACTGGCTAGATACCGTACCATTTTCTGACAGATAAAGTACAGTGGATGAAGAATGTACAAACAGAATCAGATGTTTTTAGGCACGGGTGGTGCGGCAGGGCTTGGATTGCATACACACAGGAAGGACAGTGAGTTCTGTCCAAATGGGATAAAACATCACTGCCTGCTTTGCTTGGCCTTGGCTTTTAGCCATTCTTGCTGTGCTGTATTGTTTGAGATGGCAAGACTATAAGCTCAAAACGCTGTCGAAATACCAGGTTTGACGGACATTCCTTTGAGTAATTCTCTATCGAAGCCCCTGGTGCACAACTGGTCCGTCATTGGTCCAGGCATGGTCCGAGGCTGGACCTAAGCTGGTCCGGTCTGGACCCTCCACTGACCAGGCGCCCCGCTTCGCGGAGCCTGAGTAGCACGCGCCCTAATAAATTGGCTGATTCAAATACAAATGCACTGCTTTCCGACGTAACTCACACTCCCTTACTTCCATGGGTCTATCTAGGGGCAGCGCTAACTATTGACCTCCACCGCTTTTCCCGTAACCGCTTGAAGTTTCGTTCAAACTCGGGCTTGGATTCAAGGTCGCTCTATCTCGTTCTCTTACCAACATCCCTCCACCATGACATCGCTGAAGGAAATGCGGGCAGCGACACAAATCGACGACCTTCCCGACGACGTCCTCGCGAGGATACTGAGCCATTGTGAGAAGTCGTCTTGGTATTCCCACTGCTACGCAGTATGGCCTCCCCATTCATCGTGGTCGAAGCCACAGCACCTTCGCTCGATCGTTTTAAAAGGAGCTTCCAGTCGTGACGAAGTGTCGATGATTCCAATTCCGACTCCCTCAGTCATACCAAACGCCGCAAATATCTTCCTCGTGTCGTCGGTGTGCCGTCGTTGGCGCGATCTAGCTCAGCGTGGCGTCTCCACCCTTCTCGTTGATCGAAAGCATGCCATTTCCCGCCAGCTCCTCTCAAATGCCGTCGCGCGCTTCCCTCACCTCACCCACCTCCATGTGTGCGACGGCAGTGTGAAAACCCTAGACGACGCCTTCCTAGCGCACCTCGCGTCGTCGTGCCCTAAGCTCACGATTCTCCACGTGGGACGCGCGATCGCGTGGCATGAAGGGGACGATCTCCTCGGCCAGCACGAGCACGCCATCACCCAGGCTGGTCTGGATCGCTTCTTCCAGCGATGCACTCAGCTGGAGCAGCTCTCACTGCTCTGCCTCCATCGGGACGTCGAGCTACCGCCGTCCTTCTTCCACCTCACGCGTCTTCACACGCTGGCGTTGACAGCCGCCTCTGCCTTGGAACCTCCGAATCTGGGCAGCCTCGGCGCGCTCACCACTCTCCACATCGCGTCGCCGGAGTTGAGCGAGGAGCAGCTCGCGAATGTGCGTCGCCTTCCCAGCATCACCAACCTCTCACTCTCTGCCCAAACCACGTTTTCTCCTCGTGACCCGGGCTTGGCTGCATTCATGATCTCAGAGCTACCGTTGCTCAAATCGTTGAGGACCGCCACTTGTGGCTGTGGGAATGGCCGTGCACGAGTGTGGAGCGGCTGCACATATCCAATTGCGACGACCTGAGGCGACTTCCCGACGACATTGACGAGCTGCTGCCGCGCCTTCGCCATCTCACCCTTTCCGCCTGCCGTCGCTTGGAGGAGCTGCCTGAAAGTCTTTGTTCCCTAACGCACCTCGAGACTTTGTCACTCTTCAAGTGCGGCCAGTTTCGCCGCCTGCCTGAGAGCATTGGCAGCCTGTGCGCGCTGAGAGCTCTGCTTCTGGAAGAGCTGTCGCTGTCCAGCCTGCCTGACTCCGTGTGCCAGCTCACCTCCCTCCACACCTTCTCCCTGCTTGCCTGCCGCCCCATCTGCGACCTGCCAGCAGAGTTCGCCTGCCTCACAGCGCTCACCACACTGTGCCTGGGGCACGTGCCGCTGCCATCGCACATCGGGCGCCTGCGCAACCTGCACACGCTGCTTGTGACACACAGCTTCTGGCAGTGGTTCTTCCCGCCCTCGCTGTCCCACCTCTCGTCGCTCACAAGCCTCGTGCTGCACGGGTGCGGCGTGCATGAGCTGCCGGAGGGCGTGGGGCAGCTGACCAACCTGCGCCACCTGCACGTCCTGTCCTGCCCGCACCTCAACACCCTTCCACCGTCGCTCACGCGCCTCACTCGCCTGGAGTCTCTCACACTCTCAGACTGCGAGAGTCTCGCCTTGGCGCCCACCAGGTGGGACGGGCTCACGAGGCCCAAGCGCCTTGAGGTGGCCGGGTGTCACATTCTCAAGCGGCCTCATCACGTGCTGCCGCCGTCGCTTGAAACGCTCATCTGGGGAGGAAACGCGCACAGGGTGCCTCTGCCACACGTCTCCACGCTCACGGGTCTTCGGTCGCTCTGCCTGGCCAGGGTTGCCGTGGCGTGTGGGGCGGGTGTGAGCAGGAGTCTACCTCACATGGAGCATCTAGCTCTGCACTTGCCAGACGACGCAGAGGAGCTTCCATTCGCCTTGGCACATCGCTCTCGCCTGCACTCCCTGGCTATTCATGGCGGGCGGAGGCTCCAAAGGCTGCTGGCCCATATCGGGTCAGCACTGCCGCAGCTGCGCACGCTCATGCTGAAATCCGTGGGCGAGTTGAGGGAGCTGCCAGCGAGTGTGAGTGCGCTGCACCACCTCACGTCCCTGACGGTTGACTCCGCGCCCAAGCTGGCCTCGCTTCCACATGGCATTGCTGCCTTATCCAGTCTGCAGGAACTGCAGCTCATCTCGTGTAAGCAACTTGAGCATGTGCCTGTCTCCCTCTCCCACCTTACCCGCCTGCACTAGCCGAGGATCACGCACCCTCTGTCCGGACTGGGCCCAGCTTACGCACCGCAAAGCTCTCGGTTTGAGAGGGCGTGCAAAGCTGCGGGCATTGCGGGAGGATTTGAGTGAGGTGAAGGGGCTGCAGGAGGTGGATGTGCCGTGATGTGGGCATGTGATGGACAGTGATGGGCGTGTGCTCCCCAGGAGCATGAAGCAGATGTGCGGACAGGCTTCAGTACATGCATGTAGTCCACTCCGCCACCCACTACGTGTTTTTTTAACTATCAAGTCCTTGAGCTGGCCAGCCAGGGACAAGAATCATTAGCGAGAGCAAAGGAAGATTGAGGAAGGGACAGGTGGACTGGAGTGATGCTGAGGTTGATGCTTTTATTGGCACAGTGCCGTTGTCGTTACCACCCCTGCCATCCCTGTTACTGCCTTCACTGCACTACCATTAATATGTATACCACCATTATCATCACAATTCCCACAACCACAACTGCCTGCCATCGATTGGGTTCCTCAGTCTGTCTTAACACTTGTTCACACCTTATACGTGTCACTTATACATGCACTGCTCGTGTGTTGAAGCAAATAAGCATTTGTGAAAATGCGTAATTTTCCCGTTCTCACCATCCCCCCATGTCACCTTGCAACTGTGGAAATCTCACTGCCGTTCTCCCAATTTCAATATGCTCTGTTGGTTTCCGTGTTGTCAGTTTCCCTCTTTCTACAGCCAGTTACTCACTTTCCCACTTTTTGTCATCCTCTGTCAGCATTTTGAATGCCGGTGATGCGTGCATGCTGCACTCATCTGTGCACGCCCCCCAGCATCATTAGGCTCATGCCATCACATCCTTCTCTGTGCCTCATTCCATGCCTATTCGCTCGTAAGTGTGCATGATATGCCTATTCGCTCGTAAGTGTGCATGATATGCCTATTCGCTCGTAAGTGTGCATGATATGCCTATTCGCTCGTAAGTGTGCATGATATGCCTATTTGCTCGTAAGTGTGCATGATATGCCTATTCGCTCGTAAGTGTGCATGATATGCCTATTCGCTCGTAAGTGTGCATGATATGCCTATTCGCTCGTAAGTGTGCATGATATGCCTATTCGCTCGTAAGTGTGCATGATATGCCTGTTTGCTCGTAAGTGTGCATGATATGCCTGTTTGCTCGTAAGTGTGCATGATATGCCTGTTTGCTCGTAAGTGTGCATGATATGCCTATCTGCTCGTAAGTGTGCATGGCATGCCTGTTTTCTCATGTAACGCATTCGTCCTGTTCGGGCACCAGCTTCCCATTCATTCCTGCTCATTGTTTGCTGTCACTCGCGCACTTGACTCCCACGTGCCATTGCCATGAGCATCTCAATGCCATACTTGCCTTGACCCGTTTCCATTCCATGACCCTAGTGTCGCTTTCCCAGCTCTCCATTTCCAACCCACACTTAACTTCCCGTGTTGTTGCTTCCAGCCTCTTCCTATGATGAAAACATTTCGGTCAACATTGGGTGAGCCTTTCCATGGCTTGCCATTTTGTCCGTCCACTTCGCGTAGTCATTGCATTTGTGGAGCCATACTCTCATGGTCATCTTTCATGCAAATCCTTGTTCCCGTTCACAGTCTCACGTCCATTCAAGCAGCACTTTCATGTTCCTTGTCGTTTCCCACTGTCATGTCATCTGCTCGGCCATCTCGCATTGCCATTTCCCAATCAGCTCCTCGTTTTTTTTCCGGCCACCGTCCTATTGCCGTTGAGTTCCCATGTCGTTTTGTCCACTCAACTTCCCTTTATGATTGTCCAGTCAGGTTCTCGTGGCCGATTTCACACCACACCGACATCACGTTGCCGTTCTTCTTGTTAACTTCCCCATGGCATTCGTCCATCCAGTTTTCCTCTCATTGGCCCATGCCATTCCCCTTGTCACTAGCCTTTGTTGCAATGTCATTATCCCAATGTTGCAATCTCATTTTCATGTTGCCCTTCGCATCATGTTGAAGTCATATTCCGAGTGTCATGAAGTGAAGCCACTGGCATAACCCACCGCCATAATTCCAGTGCCATGCAATGTGATGGCTCATGGCTGGGATGGTCATGGATCCCCTGCAGATGGGTTTCGGCCTAGAAATCGGTGTTCCTAGCTTGTTTGGATCGTGTATATTGCAAAGTGGTTACATTCCCTTATACTGGTGTTGGGGGGATGAAGCAGGTTGATGAGAGGAATGTGGAACGGATTGAAGGTGGGTCATGCCTGTTGTCCACTTGATTGCTTCCTCTTCTCAACTGCGCCATGCGCATCATGTACCAGCTTCTCCCTCCCTCACTTCCCCTCCGCCATTCTCCCACCGCCCTTCTCCTACTGTCATTTACTCACTCACTTTCGCATGCCATTTTACCCAATGTCGTTTTCCCACTGCCAGTTTCTGACTGTCACTTTACTTGCCACTGTCATTTCATTCATCCTCCCACTGTCTTTTTGCCATTGCCATTTGTCCACACATTTTCCCCCTGCCACACTTCAAGAACCTCCTTCCTCTTTCTCATCACATCATGACATAATCATCCCACTGCCATGTTCCAAGTTGTTGTTTTCCCTCTTCCCACTGTCATTTCCTTTTCCCGATCCACATCACATTTATCTTCCCAACACGTTTTTTCAGATGCTTATTTGTGCGCTTCAAAATCCTGACTTCTTCAATCCGGGCTTCAACCTCTTACAAATTCTCCCCAGTCCGCTTCCCACTCTCACTTACCCAGCCTATTTCCCCTTGTCATTCTTCTTGTTCATCCCTATACTTTCTGAGTCGAAATCGGTTGTTACTTCTCCAGTCACCTCCATTGTCCTTTGCTGTGACTCTTCTCATGGTGCTGCTGGCATTGGGTTCTATCAATGTCGTGCTGCCTTTCCAAAATCATGTCTTGGCCACTCCCCTTCTCATTGTCAACTGTTCTTTGCCAGTTTCCCGAAGCCATTTGTCAATCAACTTTTCCAACTCCTCCTTTCACATTCTTCTTCCGAGCTGCATGCCACCTTGTAACTTTTCGCCTCTCCACTCACCTCCATTCTCACTTGTTGTTGTGCTTCTGCTCAGCTCATGATATGCCATTTGTTTCTGTCTCATGTTTTTTATTCCATATTTCGTTGTCGTTTGTCCTGCCTCCAACTTCCCAAAGCCATTTCGAAGTAAGCTTTTCCAGTGCTTTCGTTTTCACGCAAGGTTACATTCATCTTCCCACCTGCATGTCACCCTCCATTCTGAATGTCTGTCTATATTGCCGTTTGTCAACCCAACTTCCAATCGCCACTTCTCCAATTGCCGTGTGTCTGTAGCCCTGTTTAAGTATAATGCTCATTGTCATTTATCTAGCAAGCTAGCTTTCCATTGCCATGTTCCTAGTCAATATTCCTCTGCCGTGCCATGTGCTCCTCGTAGCGCTGCCACCCCATGCATGGGCAGCACAGACACACTCGCCCATCAACCCGTGTGCATCATCCCAGCAGCCACCTCTCCTCTCCTCCGTTCTATTGCCAGCATCGCTGCCTGCCATAGCGTTCTGCCATAGCGTTCTGCCATAGCGTTCTGCCATAGCGTTCTGCCATGCCTGTCATGCACACATCACATGCCATTCTCCATCACATGACATGCCATGCACACATGACATGCACACATAGACATCTGAGTCATTCTCCATTGCCACCTTTCCACCATGAACTCTTGCCCTTGGAATTCTCGATCCACCTTCTCATTCGCTGAGACTTGCCTTATTGCCATTCCCAGTCAACCTCTCATTGCTATTCATGCTGCCAACTTCCCACTGACATGGTTCAACTCCCATTCCCCACATTCCATTCTTCAGAGGTGGCAACCTCTCATTGCCATGAAGACATCTCTTCATCGCCATTGCCGTGCTTGCCACTCCTGTCAGTCCCTACCATGCCTGCCATGCCTGCCATGCCTACCATGCCTGCCATGCCTGCCATGCCTGCCATGCCTACCATGCCTGCCATGCCTGCCATGCCTGCCATGCCTACCATGCCTGCCATGCCTGCCATGCCTGCCATGCCTACCATGCCTGCCATGCCTACCATGCCTACCATGCCTAACATGCCTACCATGCCTACCATGCCTACCATGCCTACCATGCCTACCATGCCTACCATGCCTACCATGCCTACCATGCCTACCATGCCTACCATGCCTACCATGCCTACCATGCCTACCATGCCAACCATGCCTACCATGCCTACCATGCCTACCATGCCTACCATGCCTACCATGCCTACCATGCCTACCATGCCTACCATGCCTACCATGCCTACCATGCCTACCATGCCTACCGTGCCTACCGTGCCTACCATGCCTACCCTGCCTACCATGCCTACCATGCCTACCATGCCTACCATGCCTACCATGCCTACCATGCCAACCATGCCTACCATGCCTACCATGCCTACCATGCCTACCATGCCTACCATGCCTACCATGCCTACCATGCCTACCATGCCTACCATGCCTACCATGCCTACCATGCCTACCATGCCTACCATGCCTACCATGCCTACCATGCCTACCATGCCTACCATGCCTACCATGCCTACCATGCCTACCATGCCTACCATGCCTACCATGCCTACCATGCCTACCATGCCTACCATGCCTACCTGCCTACCATGCCTACCATGCCTACCATGCCTACCATGCCTACCATGCCTACCATGCCTACCATGCCTACCATGCCTACCATGCCTACCATGCCTACCGTGCCTACCGTGCCTACCGTGCCTACCGTGCCTACCATGCCTACCATGCCTACCATGCCTACCATGCCTACCATGCCTACCGTGCCAACCATGCCTACCATGCCTACCATGCCTACCATGCCTACCATGCCTACCATGCCTACCATGCCTACCATGCCTACCATGCCTACCATGCCTACCATGCCTACCATGCCTACCATGCCTACCATGCCTACCATGCCTACCATGCCTACCATGCCTACCATGCCTACCATGCCTACCATGCCTACCATGCCAACCATGCCTATCATGCCTACCATGCCTACCATGCCTGCTAACCAACTAGCATCACCCGGCACTGTATGTGTCACCACGTGTGCCCATGAGCCTGCTCCAAGTGTGAGCATGCCTGTGTATGTACACATGGCATGGCGCTATGACTGCAAGCTTGGACCAACGGAGAAGGGGGTGGGGGCAGGCCACTGGTGTGTGCTGCTGCAGGATGGGTGGGCTCGAGACGGGAGTGGCTTGCCATTTCAGTCAATGTCACACTGTCAATTATCTTGTTCCTACCGTTTCCCTTGTGAAGTCTGTGTGTTCAGCATTGCTTCTTCCAGTCACCTTCCCTGGCATTTGCTGAGTCTTCTCATACTGCCCTCATCCGTAGCCTAGATTTACTTTAGCACATGAAGGTGCCTGCAGATCCGCTGGCTGGTCCGTGTTGGTCCTGCCACCGTGGAAGGAGAGAGATGGGTGAGGAAATTAGACACGTGGTTCACACGGGAAAGGGATGCGTACAGAACAGAACCTGTTTGTTCGGGACAAGAAACAGCTAAACCAGCATGGTCGATGATCAGTTCCCTGAGAGTTGAAATGTTGTGAAATGACATAGGTAGTATGCTTGATTGACACAGTATAGCAGTTCGATAAGCTATCTTGCTGTACCGTATTCCTAGCTGTCGGAACTGAAATGAAATTACTCGAGGGATGGATATACTGATGGTAAATGAAAATTGTGTGGCTCGACAAGAACATTTCGTACAACACAACGGTGAGCTTGGTAACAATATATAGATTCATAACATTAATCTTTTTAGAGAATGTCATGATCTGTTCGACTTGTATAAGAAATCATACTGCTGGATTGTTGGTAGAGGCAATATCGGTTGAACCATATATAATTCACTGCTAGTATGTGATATCGAATCTGCACATAGACACATTCGTTTTTCTCATTCCCATCCCAACCTTGGGAGCTGGCTGGACGAGCACCTTGGAAGAGGAACCCTAGTTCCTCGAGACCAGTTTCCTGAGCACTCTGATCGGAGATCTCCTGAGCTGCTCAAGACTGTCCGATCGCAGGGCAAACACTGCCTTCCGTCATTTGGTACGCGCCATGTCGTAGTGCGGTCCGTTCGGGCATCCGTCTCATTCGCGTCCGCTGATTGCTCGTAGGTAGTTTGTTCTTCCCGTTCGTTAACGTTGACGGAACGAAACACAAGGTATGGCAGCCTCGATCATACCTTCGATCGGAGAGTACACACATAATAGCCCCACATTCAGTCAACCGGGAAGAGCGTCGTGTTCCCGCAGACGAATCGCCGGTTCAGCAGCGGCGAGCTTGACGGAAGGACGACAGGACTTAATTTTGGGCAGCAAAAAACGCTGAGATTTCGCTGCCCAGATCCGTGCTGGTCGGAGGAGTTGGGCTGGGCCCTTTGATTGTAGCATGTCATTGGCTGCCCGACCTCTGCGTAGGTTTGGCTCCAATCGGGTCGCTCTAGGATGTCAGAGAAATTGGCCAGCGCTAGCAGCCTCGAGCATACCTTAGATTGGAGACGAGACCACACCCACGGAACCCTACATCCAGTCAACGAGAAGCAGTGCCGTGCTTCCGCAGACAAATCGCTGGTTCTCCCTCAAGCAGCGGCGAGCTTGACGGAAGAGCGATTCAGATTCAGTTTGGGCAGCCGAAACGCTGAGATTTTGCTGCCCAAGATCGACTAGATGAACGAGCCGCGACATTCTCGTCCGGCTGTGCCGAACCTCGAGGCTATGCTTGGAGCATCTGTTTCGGACAGCTTGCCATTGGCTGCTCAACCCCTCCGTCCATTCTCCTCCAATCACAACACAGAGCACGCCTTTCCCGGGAGGAACTACTTTAGCTATGGGCAGCAGACCTGCTTTCCCCCGTCTACCCACCACCGTTCCTTCCCTCCACCCGAGCTCCATCCACCTTTCCTCCTTGGAGTTGTCGTGCATTCCCAACAATACAAAGCCACTCGTCATTCTCATCCATTCCACCACACCCGTTCAAGTTCGTACTTGCTTCTGACTATCACCTGGTTTCAACTCCCGGTTCTGGATTCTTGAAATTTCCTTGTTGCCTAGACTCTTGTTCTTACCATGGCCGCGCGGAACGCCTCAGCTTTCCAGTTCACGAGCCCCTCAATCGACCACGAGTTCTGGAAGGACTTCAGCGAGGCCGATTGTACGTGGCTGTACGCGCCACTGACGTCATTGGCCATTGATCACGAGTTCTGGAAGGATTTCCCAGAGGAAGACTGCACGTGGCTCTCTGGCCCGCTGGGCTTCCCGGCGCCTGCAGATACATCCATCGATCATGCGTTCTGGGAGGACTACAGCGAGGAGGAGCAGACGTGGCTGTACGTCCCGGGCGTTCGTTTCTGCGAGCCCGTTGTGACTCTCACGCTCGGAGCTGTCGCTGCTGCCAGCAGCACTGCGACCAGCACCAGCAGCCGCAGCAGCGCCAGTAGCATCATCAGCAGCTGCAGCAACAGCGACGACAGCAGCGTTGCCAGCAGCAGAACCATTTGCAGCACCAGCAGCAGCAGTAGCATCAGCAGCCGCAGCGCCGGCAGCAGCAGCTCGAAGCGTGGCAACAGCGCAGAGGCGTGCATGAGAAAGAGGCGGCAGCAGCGGCTGCACGCCGTTGCGGTGCGCGTGGGGCGGTTGAACGAGGACGAGCAGAGCACTGCGCGCTCCCCCCGTGCGTCGCTGGGCTTCTCCCCGCTGCGACCCACCCCCGTGAGTCAGCCGCGCAGCAACACGCCCACGCCCAGGCACGTCATGGGTGCACGCGCTGCTGCCACCAGCTCTGCTGCCGCTGTGAAGAGCGCCGCTGTGAAGAGCGCTGCTGTGAAGACTGCCGCTGTGAAGAGCGCTGCTGTCATGCGCCCTGCTGGTGTGGAGATTGCTTCCGTGAAGACCCTTGCTGTGAAGCCCGCGGTTTCAGCAGGCAAGGGAACGCCTGCATTTGCAGCAGCACCAGCCAAGGCTGCTGCTGTAAGAATCGTTGCTGTTAAGCCTGCAGCTGCAGCAGGTAAAAGAACGCCAGGCAAGGCCACACATGTGACGCCGGCAGGTGCTGTGAAGAGCGCTGCAGTGAAGATCGTTAAGCCTGCAGCTGCCGCAGCTAAAGCAACGCCAGCCAAGGCCACACGTGTGACGCCTGCAGCTGCTAAGAGTGTTGCTGCAAAGAGCAGCCCAGTGGGGTCGGTACCAACAAAGGCAGCAGGAGAGAAGGTGAGGGAGCAGGGCAATGGGAGGGCAGCACACACGGCGGTGCGTGCAGCAACAGGGAAGGCTACGCTGGGAGGGGTGGAGGCAGCAGGAGGGCGAGCAGCAGGCGCGCCACACAGCACTCGCAACCCGGCTGCTCCAGCAGCAGCACTGGCGGCCACTCGCATTCCCAAACCACGCCCCGCTGCACCCAGTGGCATTCCCAAGCCACACAGCAAGGCACCCAAGGGAAGCAGTGAACGGTGATGAAGCAGCAGAATTCGTAGCGTTAGCAGTTGTATAAGGCAGCAGATCCAGAGGCTTTCCAATGGGATGTGGAGGGATGCGTGGTGTGGGTGGGATGAGCATGGCTGGTGGGATGAGCATGGCTGGTGGGGCTGGTGGCAGGCGCATGGCGGGACTTACCCCTTTTTGCACCCTGCTTGCAGGGTGTTGTGGGAGAGATGGGCGGAGAGGTGGAGGAATGTGGTCAGCTGGAGGGTGGTTTGTGGGGAGGCTGGTGGATAGGCTGAGCATGGCGATAGATCTGCTGCTGCCGATTTCATGCTCTTAGATTAGAAGTAGCTTAGTTCATAGTGTTCTTAGTCTCTTGTAACTATTTATATAGCATTGATCAGATGTGATTGCTTTCCCTTGTGCTAGCTGGTGTCGGGGGAAGGGAGGCGTGAAGCAGGAGTAGGGGAGTGTCGTACGGGTTTAAGTTGTTAAAATATATATTGTGTAGCATGCCAACACATGTGACTGTACACCAATTGTGGTGTACAGTTGGGTTGGGACTACACCCAACTTTGGGTGTAGTCTTGCACTTTGGGGTGCCAATCCACCCAATTGTGGTGGAGCCCCCAAATGCAACCCTCTTGACTTGTGGGTACCTCACTTCCCACAATTGAGGTTACCCCAAGCCAAGTGGGCCTAGGGTTGCCTCACTTCTACAAAGTGTGGGCAACCCAACCCACTTGACCTATGGTTCCCTCACTTCCCCAAGTGAGGTCAACCCAACCTATGGTCACTTTCATCCTTCCCTTCCAACCTTCCCTTCCAACTATGTATGCTAGGTTGTTCCTCTAATCGAATTACTTGTTCAATTCACAATCTTCACATAAGTTGGTTTCGATTTCCTTGCATCACCCCCATTTTCCCACCCTCATTTTCCCGCCGCGACGCCTCGTCGCCGCCTCCTCCTCCCCCTGCCGCGACCCCCCGTCGCCGTCTCCCTCCCGCCGCCGCGCCTACTTCGGCGTCGCCCGCGCATCCCTCCGCCGCGACGCCCCGTCGTCGCCTGCCCCGGCATTGCTGAGAGCCGCATTCGTGAGATCACCAAGATAGCTCGCTGTCTCATTGCTCATGCCTCCACCCCTCCTTCCCTCTGGAGCTATGCCCTCCTCCACGCCGCTCTTCTCCTTAATCTCCGCTCCCACCCTCAGCATCCTTCCTCCTCCCCTACAGAGCTTTGGTCCAACGCCAAACCCGACGCTGCCGGCCTTCGCGTTTGGGGCTGCAAGGCCTTCGTTCTCATCCCACCCGCCGACCGCTCCCGCGCCGCTGGCAAGCTTGCTCCTCGCGCCCTGGAATGCGTTTACCTTGGGCACAATCGCGACTCCCCAGGCTACCTCTTCCTCCACCCTCCCACCAATCGCCTCATCCGCAGCGGCGACGTCGTCTTCGACGAATCCGTCCCCTATTACTCCACTCCTCCCCCTGATCCTCTCCCTCCTCCCACTCGTCCCCTTGCTTGGACCGACACCGTCCTCCCGCCCCTTCTCCCTCCAGCCCCTCTCCTCCCACCCGCCGCAGCTCCGCTCCCGCCCTCCTCCTCCGCCGATGTCTACGACCCTGCCGCACCCGCTTCCCCCGCTCACTCGGCCGCACCCCCTCCCCCCCCTCCCTCCTCCTCTCCCTCTCCCTCCTTCCAGCAGCCGGATCAGCAGCAGCAGCAGCAACAGCAGCAGCAGCAGCAACCGGGACAGCAGCCGGGGCAGCAGCAGCAGCAGCAGCCGGGCCAGCAGCAGCAGCAGCAGCCGGGCCAGCAGCAGCAGCAGCAGCGGCAGCCGGGACAGCAGCAGCAGCAGCAGCAGCAGCAGCAGCAGCCTCAGCAGCCTCAGCAGCCGCAGCACCAGCACGGTCAGCCGCAGCCGCAGCAACAAGGGCAGCAGCTTCCGCAGCACCAGCAGCAGCAGCGGCGTCGTGCCACTTCCCGTTCCTCCCCCTTCCTCCTCCCTTACATCCATACCCGCTCTGTGGACAAAATCCTTGGGGCTCCTCCTCCTGCCTCCATTCAGCTCCTTGAGGACTCCCATGAGGAGTTTCTTAACATTCGGGAGCACACTCCATTCCTCGCCACCCGCGCATCCCGCCGCCGCACGTTCCTCGTAGCAGCCGCCTCATCCCGCAGCAGCAGCGTCATTGGCAGCAACAGCTTCGCCCACAGCTACATCTGCGTTCTCCCTCCCCCTCCCCCTTTCCTCCTCCTCTCCTCCCACACAGCAGCAGCCGGGACAGCTCAGCAGCCACAGCAGCAACAACGGCAGCAGCGGCAACATCAGGAGCAGCGACAGCAGCTGCATCCACCATCTTCCTCCCCCTCCTCCCCTCCCCCCCCCCCCCTCCTCCCTCTCAGCAGCAGCAGCGGCAGCAGCGGCAGCAGCGGCAGCAGCGCCAGCAGCGGCAGCAGCGGCAGCAGCGGCGGCAGCGGCAGCAGCGGCGGCAGCGGCGGCAGCGGCAGCAGCGGCAGCAGCGGCAGCAGCGGCAGCAGCAGCAGCAGCCGGAGAAGAACTCCACTCCCCGCAGCAGCACCCCCCCCCCCCCTCCTCCCTCTCGGCTGCCGCGGGTCCACCCGCCGTCGCCCTCCCACTTGACCGCCGCGGGTCCACCCGCCGCCGTCCACCTCGAGGCCGCCGCGGGTCCACCCGCCGTCGCCCCTCATGGCTACCACTCCTCCCCCTCTCCCCCCTCCCATTGACGCCTCCTCCGTCGACAAGCTTCAGCTTGCCGCGGACCGCTCGGCGATCAACTGGCATTCCTTCGTCGGGAGCATCCGCCATGTTCTCCAAGATGCATTCGTCGGACCCTACTGCGTCCTTGACGTCCTCCTCCGCCGCCCGCAAGCCCTCCAGCCCACGGCACCCAATCACCCCGGCGAACCCCCTCCACCCCCCATTCCTCCTGGTCCTCCTTCTCCTGAACCCACCTTGGAGATCGCCACTACCCCAGCGCTCCAAGATGCCGCCGATGCCGCATTTCTCCACGATCGCCGCGAATACCTCATCCGCAAGGCGGAGCATGAGGTTGCGGTACATAACCACGACTTCGCGGTAGCGGAACGCGCCAATCGCCTGGCGCTCCTTGATGAGTACAATACGGCCATGGCGGACTACCTCCCTCGGCGCATCGCATGGGCCACTGCTGACAACCGCGCCTGCACCATCCTCCTCGGCGCACTCCCTGATACCCTCATGCGCCGTTTCCAAGCTCGCGAGATGCGCGCCTCCCTCATCTGGGCCGAGCTCCAGGCCATGTTCGAGCGTCGCGACATCAGCTCTGTCGGCGCCCTGTTCCAGGAGTACTTCTCCATCACCCTCGCCACTTGTGATGGCGCAGTTGACTACGTGGGGCGCATGCAGGAGGTCGCTGATCGCCTTGCGGCACGCCAAGCTGCCCTCCCCGAGCCCCTGCAAATCCACCGCCTCCTCTACAACCTCACCCCGGACTACGAGTCCCGCCTCCATGCCTTCACTGAGGCCAACCCCATGGCCGGCCTCGACGACGTGGTCCAGTGGATCATTGACACGGAGGTCAAGCTCCGCACCCCCGTTGTCAACCTTACCACCCCTCAGTCCTCCTCCTCCACCTCCCTCAACGCTACGCAGCCGCGCAACCAGGGTGGTCGCAGCGGCGGCGGCGGAGGCCGTGGAGCGGGTGGCGGTGGTGGTGGTGGAGGCCGTGGTGGTGGCGGTGGTGGTAGTGGTGGCCGTGGTGGCCGTGGTGGCGGTGGTGGTGGTGCTGGCAGCGCCCCTGCTGGAGGTGCTGTGACTCGAGGCGGACGCCCTGGCACTCTCCCCCCATGCACATATGTGCGTCGCCATGGTCCCCATGCAGGTACCCCTTGCGGCCAGACCAACCATCCCCCCACCACGTGCTTTAAGGCACTCGACGACGCCTGGTTTGATCGCGGCAACTCTGGCACCCCTCCTCGCTGGAACTCGGTCACACCTCGCCCCTCCTTAGTGGATATTCAAACCCTCCCCTCTTTCCTTCCTGCTCACCTCCGCATGGTTACCCCCTCCCCACCCTCACAGCTGCAGCAGTTTCAGCAGCACCAGCAGCAGCAGCACCTGTACTTCCACCAGCAGCAGCAGCAGCCGCAGTTTCTCCAGCCCCAGCAGCCGCCGCCGCCGCAGTTCTTCCAGCCACCGCCGCAGCAGCAGCAGCAGCAGTTCCTTCCCCCACCCTGGCAGCAGCAGCCACTCACCTTCGGCACAGCGGCCATGGCCGCTCATACCTCCCTTCCTCCTCCCCCCCCCTGGGGTTCCCTCCCCTCTGCCCCCCCCAGTGTTCCTGACACTTCTGGTAGTTTCCTTGGTAATATCAGTGATGCACCGTCCGTCGCTGCCATGTATCCCTCTGCTATCAATGAGACTTCGTTTCAGTACCCCGTCCCACCCCCTCCTCCCTCTTCTCCCACCCTGGACTTTGTCCTTGACAGTGGAGCCACTGAAACCGCACTGAAAGACGCTGGCACTCTCACCCCACTACCACTTCCCACTCAGGTTCATGGGGCTGATTCCAGCTTTTCCATTCCATGCACTCACCTCTCCACCCTCCCTTGCACTGCCTTCCCCTCCGGTAAGGTCACAGGTCTCCACATCCCCACTCTCCGCAACAACCTCCTCTCCCACCGTGAGCTCCAAGGTGTTGGTATCACTGCCATTTACCCCGGTTATGCCAATTACTGTGATCTCTACCAAACCTCCTCCGGTCGCTTCCTTCTCCGCATTCCGCTTTGCCCCCGCACTCGCCTCTACACACTCCGCACGCCTCGCCCATCCTTCTGCCACGTCACCACTCGTTCCGGTGCTTCCACCGGTCCACCTCCTCCTCCTTTACTTCCCCCTTCCCCTCCCCCTCAAGTATCCTCTTCTCCCTCCCCACCATCCTCCTCCTCCCCTCCCGTTCCTTCCATTACCCCATCTCCCTCCTCCTCCACTACCCTCTCCCACCCTGCTGTCCTCTTACACCACAGACTCGGCCATCCCAACTTCACCGCCCTTCGCACCACAGTCACCTCTCGCCTCCTCCGCAGCCTTCCTCCTGTTTTACCTCCCCTCCCCTCCTCCCCCTCTCCCCCATGCCCTTCATGCATTCACGGCAAGCTCAAACAGTCCCCCCACCACAGTCATCCCACCTTCGCCACCGCCCCCATTGACCTTGTGCACATGGACCTCTGGGGCCCCTATCCCATCCGCTCCCGCCAGGGGCATCGGTACATGCTCGTCCTCGTTGACGACCACAGCCAGTACTCCACCACCTTCTTCCTTCACACGAAAGACCAGGTGCCGGCAGTGGTCATCAACTGGGCCGAACAGTGCCGCAATCACTTCAAACGCCCCATCGGCCGCCTTCACTCTGACGGTGGGGGTGAGTTCATCAATAACACCCTTGCCACATACTGCAACACCTACGGCATCCAACAGACCTCCACCCTTCCCCACTCCCCTCAGCAGAACGGCATTGCTGAGAGCCGCATTCGTGAGATCACCAAGATAGCTCGCTGTCTCATTGCTCATGCCTCCACCCCTCCTTCCCTCTGGAGCTATGCCCTCCTCCACGCCGCTCTTCTCCTTAATCTCCGCTCCCACCCTCAGCATCCTTCCTCCTCCCCTACAGAGCTTTGGTCCAACGCCAAACCCGACGCTGCCGGCCTTCGCGTTTGGGGCTGCAAGGCCTTCGTTCTCATCCCACCCGCCGACCGCTCCCGCGCCGCTGGCAAGCTTGCTCCTCGCGCCCTGGAATGCGTTTACCTTGGGCACAATCGCGACTCCCCAGGCTACCTCTTCCTCCACCCTCCCACCAATCGCCTCATCCGCAGCGGCGACGTCGTCTTCGACGAATCCGTCCCCTATTACTCCACTCCTCCCCCTGATCCTCTCCCTCCTCCCACTCGTCCCCTTGCTTGGACCGACACCGTCCTCCCGCCCCTTCTCCCTCCAGCCCCTCTCCTCCCACCCGCCGCAGCTCCGCTCCCGCCCTCCTCCTCCGCCGATGTCTACGACCCTGCCGCACCCGCTTCCCCCGCTCACTCGGCCGCACCCCCTCCCCCCCCTCCCTCCTCCTCTCCCTCTCCCTCCTTCCAGCAGCCGGATCAGCAGCAGCAGCAGCAACAGCAGCAGCAGCAGCAACCGGGACAGCAGCTGGGGCAGCAGCAGCAGCAGCAGCCGGGCCAGCAGCAGCAGCAGCAGCCGGGCCAGCAGCAGCAGCAGCAGCAGCGGCAGCCGGGACAGCAGCAGCAGCAGCAGCCTCAGCAGCCTCAGCAGCCGCAGCACCAGCACGGTCAGCCGCAGCCGCAGCAACAAGGGCAGCAGCTTCCGCAGCACCAGCAGCAGCAGCGGCGTCGTGCCACTTCCCGTTCCTCCCCCTTCCTCCTCCCTTACATCCATACCCGCTCTGTGGACAAAATCCTTGGGGCTCCTCCTCCTGCCTCCATTCAGCTCCTTGAGGACTCCCATGAGGAGTTTCTTAACATTCGGGAGCACACTCCATTCCTTGCCGCCCTCTACCTTGACTTCCTGGGCTTTCCTGTCCTTGGCGCCACTACTACCCCCACCATCTTCACTCCCTCCACCTTCCAGGAAGCCATCACCTGCCCTGATGCGGATAAATGGATAGCAGCGATCTTCCTGGAGTGTGAGGCTTTCATTCGTAACGACTCCTTTGTCGATGTCCCCCTCCCTGGTGGCGCTAATCTCGTTGACGGCAAATGGGTCTTTCGGGTGAAGCAGCTGCCGGGCGAGGAACCAGTGTACAAGGCCCGCTACTGCGCCAAGGGGTTCACGCAGACTTGGGCTGAGGACTACTGGTTCACCTACGCCCCCACCGCCAAACCACCCACCCTTCGCGCCGCCATGGACATTGGTGCACGTGACGACATGGAAATCGACTCCATGGACGTCTCCAATGCGTTCCTGCAGGGCGACCTGCATGAGCGCATTTTCCTCCGGCGACCCCCCGGGTTCCACGCAGCCTTTCCTGAGAACACTGTCTGGCAGCTGCGTCGCCCCGTCTACGGCTTGAAGCAGGCACCGCGTGAGTGGCATGCGAAGCTGGCTGCCACCTTGGGGTCCCTCGGCTTCTCTGCTTCCCACTCCGACGCCAGCCTCTTCATCCGCTCCTCCCCCCGCCGCTTCTTCATTCTGGTATATGTCGACGACATGATCCTGCTCTCTGACACCAAGGCCGACATGGAGCAGGTGAAGCTGTCCCTGCAGCAGCGGCTCAAGTGCAAGGACCTTGGCGCCCTCACTCACTACCTCGGCATGACCATCACGCGCAACCGCCCTGCTCGCACAATCACCCTCTCCCAGTCCCATTACATCGGCCAGGTCTTGGAGAAGTTCGACATGGCGCAAGCCAAGCCTGTTTCCACCCCGCTCCCCTTCGGTCACCAACTCGCTCCACCCACCTCCCCCACCTCCTCCCCCCACCCCTATGCCGAGCTCGTTGGGTCCTTGATGTACGCAATGATGTGCACCCGCCCCGACCTCGCCTACCCCATCAGCGTGCTCGCTCGCTTTGTCGGCACCGGTCGTCACTCTGAGGAGCACTGGAAAGCTGCCAAGCGGGTCCTCCGCTACCTTCGCGGGACCAGGGACCTTGCCCTCACCCTCGGCGGCCCTTCCCGTCCCCTTCTCTCGGGCTTCAGTGACTCCTCATGGGCTGACACGCAGCCGGACCGCCGCTCCTCCCAGGGCTACGGCTTCACCCTTGGCAGCGGCCTCATCAGCTGGCGCTCCACCCGCTCCTCCGCCATCTCTCTCTCCACCTGCGAAGCCGAGCTCTACGCTGGCACCATGGCCGCCCAGGAGTCGCGCTGGCTCTGCTTCCTTCTTGCGGAGCTTGGCGCCCCCCAGACGTGCCCCACTCTCTGGTGCGACAACGCCAGCACCATCCATCTCACTCAGGACCCCGTCTATCACGCCCGCTCCAAGCACATCGAACTCCGCTACTTCTTCGTTCGCGAGCTCGTCCAGAAGGGCCTCATTGCCGTTCGCAAGATTGCAACCGAGGCCAACTTGGCCGACATCTTCACTAAAGCCCTCCTTCGCCCCGCGCACTCTGCCTTCCTCCGCCTCATTGGCCTTGCTCGCCCGGGCGCCCCTTGATTCAAGGGTTGTTCTCTTCTTGTGTTAGCATGCTAAGGGGTTGTGTTAAAATATATATTGTGTAGCATGCCAACACATGTGACTGTACACCAATTGTGGTGTACAGTTGGGTTGGGACTACACCCAACTTTGGGTGTAGTCTTGCACTTTGGGGTGCCAATCCACCCAATTGTGGTGGAGCCCCCAAATGCAACCCTCTTGACTTGTGGGTACCTCACTTCCCACAATTGAGGTTACCCCAAGCCAAGTGGGCCTAGGGTTGCCTCACTTCTACAAAGTGTGGGCAACCCAACCCACTTGACCTATGGTTCCCTCACTTCCCCAAGTGAGGTCAACCCAACCTATGGTCACTTTCATCCTTCCCTTCCAACCTTCCCTTCCAACTATGTATGCTAGGTTGTTCCTCTAATCGAATTACTTGTTCAATTCACAATCTTCACATAAGTTGGTTTCGATTTCCTTGCATCACCCCCATTTTCCCACCCTCATTTTCAAACAGTCACTGTACCGTGCCATTTAACCACCGTTATTTTCCCACTGTCATTTTGCCACTGTCACTTTCACACTGTCATCCTCCAACAGTCTTACTACCATTGCTTTTTTTCCACGTGTTTTCATTGCCAACATCCACCTTGCCCTTTCTCATATCATCATGACATCATCATCCCACTGCCATGCCATGTTCCGCTATCACCATCCCACTGCCATGTTCCCACTATGCCATCTAACCGTTGTCACTTCTTACTGTCATTTTTCAATGTCACAAAAATCCCCATAATCCATATCAGTAGGTCTTCTCATCACCTCTCTTCCCTCCCCGTCCCTTGCAGTGCATTTGATCTACCCCTGTCAATCTCCTCCCTCTATTGTCATCCATAGCAACTTTGTCCTCTGCATACTCCCTCTGCTACTCTCCAGTGTGAGCCTTCACAGACTCGCCCCATTCACGGGTCTACCATGCCAACATGCATCTCACATGCACTTTCCTCTCACCCACGTGCTTGCTGCCTGCCTGCACATGCCTGTGAAGAGCCAATTTGCGCACCTATTTTGCTCTCCCTTGATTACGTTGCCACGTGTTCATGCTGCATGCACACTTCCCAAGGCCATGGTCTGTGTGGTAGTGGAAGTGGCGCTGCAAGCACACTTCAGTCACATTCCTCACTGTCAAGTTCCCCGTGCCCTTTCCATCACCATCCATTCTTATCCGTCCTCAAATGTGAGCTTTTGCCGAGCATTTCCATTCAGTTTTCCTCCTTCTTCCCCGGTCAATTTCCCCGTTGCAATTTTTTTTCTCTGCCATGCATTCAGGCATGGATGCTTCATCCATGCCCTTCCCTCCACTCTGGTGCCTGCACTGCATGCATGGGTGCATCCCCTCCGTCTGCCTTACCCACCCACTCCATCTCACTGCACCACATGCCATCTCCTAGTGCCCATCCATGGCTTTCTCATATCTCGCTTTGCTCATGTGTGTATGATACACCTGCTTTCTCTTCCTGTGTCTGCATTGTGTGCACATCTTCTTTTTGTTACTGCCTTTCCATTATCGTTCCCCCATAGGCATTTTCCCACCTGTCGATCGTGCTCTTTTACTCCCACTTCCCATTCTCATAAGATTCTCATATCCGTTATCATACCAACAGGAAAATTTCAAGTAAGAAAATGTCTGGTCAAGTTTGAAATGTTTTCAGCCTAGTGTCTTGTTGCAATTTCTCTTGTTTCTAGCATCCTATTGTCAGTTTTCCTCTCAGGTTCGCAGTTGCTTGAGCCATCGTTGTTTGCAACGCATGCTATTGTCAGTTTTCACCTTCCGTATCAGTCTTTGCGCCTTCGCATGGGCCATTGTCCAGTCCACTTCTCATTCCCATTCGTCCTGCCAGCCTCCCATTGCCAGTTTGCGATTGCTTCCATCTGTCAATCATCTTCTCATTGCCTTTTCCAGTCGTTGCTTTCCTCTGGTCTTCCCAGTGTCAGGTTCCCTTGGTCATTTCCCTGCAGCCCCCTCACTCTTTGTTGACTTCCCATTGCCATGTTATTGTTGTCATTATCGCACTGCATCATCCCATTATCATCTACCCTTCGTCATGATTTCAACATACTGCCATTGTCAGCATCTCAGGATGATGTTCCCACTGCCATGTTCCCACTGCCATGTTCCCACTGCCATGCTCCCACTGCCATGCTCCCACTGCCATTTCCCATCTGCCCACGGTTATCATTTTTGCCCATTCTCATCCTCCCATCTTCACTCTTCCACTGCTCATACACCTCACTCCATCTTCCCGTTTTCTCCCCGATCCCTACTGTCATCTTGTCGCCATCACTCGTCCAGTGTCTGGGAATAGATCTTAATCTTATCTTTCCCAATGTCAATTTGCCACTGTCGCTTTCTCTGATTGCAGCAGCATCTCACTACCTCCCTGTCATGCCTTCCATGCAACACATGGCCCCACCAGCGCCACTCCAATGTGCGTCAAGTCAACATTAAGCCTCTTTGCAGTTACATCGTGCCTCTCCATGACTGAATTGCCCCAGCCAATCGGAATCACGTGTGCACACCCACTTTAACGCAGCCATCATATCACAGCTTACGTGTGAATCTGATCAATGGTAATGTGGAATCCTGAATGCACGCCTTCTCATTCTAGGCATAGACCTATCTACTGCTTGGCAGAAGTTCAAGGAACTAGATGGTCAACTTCTGTGAAGTGCGTTGGCAGAAGTCTTTATTCGTTTGTTTTGAAACCTTGTACTTGCAATGCACCTGTGGTTTGTTATTTTGGTGTAAAGAGTGAGTATAGACGGTGTTTACGAGCTGGGAATTGAAGGTTTGGTGTGCATGCATAATTTCCATTTCTTTACAGAAGTAGTTTGAAATCACAATAATATGGGGTCATCCTTATTTCTGTCAGCAACCACATTGCACCGTACCAAATCTCGAGCAAAGGTCATCTCAGCCGAGCACACCCAAGTAAATAGCTGCACTTGTTCCTGTCAGTCGCTCGTAACGATCCGCGCCGAGCCCCTACCGCCGCGAGCACCCCATAGTCCATCAGCGCAACTCAGCCAGCTGCGAGCGAACCGCACGCCGACCACGCACTTCGCCAGACCTCCGCGACTCAGCGCCTCGACGGCTCGGCGGGGCGCTGGGAGGAGGAGCAGCGGAGCGGAAACTGAGATGAGGGCAACGCGGAGAGCGCAGAAGTGTGGCAGAATTGACGCGCGCACGCGGAGAAGCATGCTCATCGCGCGCCTATAGGGGAAGGGGGGGTGAGGGGCTTTCCGCTAGCCGGGAGGGTGTTTGGCGTGATGGAGGCCACGTCGCTTTCGCGAAGCGTTTCGGCGCGTTGCGCCCGTCATGCGCAACTCATTTCCATCCTCATCGCGTCGCATGCCTTGTGCAAACCTCATCGCACGCACCTCCCACCGCTCTCGGCTCTTCCGCACCCCCCTGCGCCACCCCCGTGGCGCGCGGCTGCTTTCCACCCGTTGCGCGCGTCGCTCCCGTGTGCGCTTGTGCTTGACGCCGCCAGCACAACGGCGCGGCGGACGCTGCGATGGAGGCGGAAGGTGGTTGCGGGGGAGCGCGGAGAGGCGTGTGGGAACGTGCGAGGGCGGGGTTGAAGCGCAGATCTGCGATGGCTGCGCGGCGCGGAGGCCGTCCCGTTACAAGCGCCCTCGATAGACACGTGGTGGCGCTCCCCAGGCAAGAAGGAAGGGAAGGGGGAAGGGAGAAGGGGAGGGAAGGGGGAAGGGAAAAGGGGAGGGAAGGGGGAAGGGAAAAGGGGAGGGAAGGGGGAAGGGAAAAGGGGAGGCAAGGGGGAAGGGAAAAGGGGAGGCAAGGGGGAAGGGAAAAGGGGAGGCAAGGGGGAAGGGAAAAGGGGAGGCAAGGGGGAAGGGCAAAGGGGAGGCAAGGGGGAAGGGAAAAGGGGAGGCAAGGGGGAAGGGAAAAGGGGGGGCAAGGGGGAAGGGAAAAGGTGAGGGAAGGGGGAAGGGAAAAGGGGGGGCAAGGGGGAAGGGAAAAGGTGAGGCAAGGGGGAAGGGAAGGGGAGGCAAGCGGGGAAAGGGAAGGGGGGAGGGAAAGGGGGAGGGAAGGGGGGAGGCAAGGGGGGAGGGAAGGGGGGAGGGAAGGGGGGAGGGAAGGGGGAGGGAAGGGGGAGGGGGAGGGAAGGGGGGAGGGAAGGGGGAGAGAAGGGGGAGGGGGAGGGAAGGGGGAGGGGGAGGGAAGGGGGAGGGGGAGGGAAGGGGGAATGGGCGATGGCAATGACGAGGGGCTCTGGCGAATAAAGAAGAGTTTGAGAAACAGCATACTGGTATGTGGTGGAAGGGGTGGTGTGGTGCAGGATGGAGGGGTGGTGGGCTGCCATTCCACGCTACGTCCCACTTTCCCAGCCCTTTTCTCACTGCCATTCCTCACTTTCCCACTCATGCTCGTAATCTCATGTGTCAGTTCCTTTCGTGTCATTTGTCGAGTCTTCTCGTAATGCCCTTTGAACACTCAAATTCACTCTAGCGTGGTGGCCCTCCGTTTCAGTTTTTGCAATTCATTTTCGGTTCGTTAGTTATTATGCGCTTATGCGTCTAAGTTTTTTCACTCGCTTTAAAGAGAAGCACATAAGCCTGTTTTCACCATGCGAAAGACAAACAGCACCTTGCTTCGCGCATAATATAAGCAAGTTCCATCGCCTCTGATCTGAGGAAGTCAAGCGGAGGTTCAACGCCTTTTTATTTTCAAATCAAGCGACAATTAAAGATAATGCCGAGCCATTATAACCGATCGCCATGTCACATGACTGCTCTCCTCTCTCTATAGCAACAAATTGCCCAGTAATCTTTAAGTTTGCTACCATCTTCTCGTGTCGGCTGCCTTCCCATTCAACTTCCATTTTCACTTTCCCGTCCTACTTCCCAGCGCCATTGACGGAATTTAACTTTTATTCTGAAGACGTTGCCCAGCCATGTTCGTATTCATCGTCATAGTCACATGCCAATCTCAGTGGCAGGCATGGCCTCGTCATAGTCACATGCCAATCTCAGTGGCATGGCCACTCTCTCATAAAGGCAAGTTCCACTGGGTTACCATCAGCTCGCCTCACTTGTTCGCTCCTGAGCCCCTCTCTCCCCTCTCTCCCCTCTCTCCCCTCCTCGTGAACCCTGCACTCTGCCCTCTAACTCCTCCTCGTGACTGACAGCAGCAGGATCACCACAGTCCCGCCACCCTCCTGCAGCACTGGAGCACTGGACTCTGACTGGCTCTGCATGGCTGCCCGTGTGCGTCACACTGCAAGGCAATGCACCCCAGCTTCACACTCTGTCTCTTTGGGGAAGGGAGTGGAGGGTGGGGGAGTAAGCTCTTGAGAGTCACCTGCAGCTGAATCAAATCTTGGCGTCTACAGATTTCAGGTCCTAGTGATTCAGTTCGTGCCTTTCCAGAGTTTTCTCCGCAACCATGCCTCTCCTCACCAATCCCCTCTCCCCTCACGAATAACCACTCTTCTGCCTCTCCCATCCACCCCAGTTTTCCCAAACATCCTTTCTCACTGCCCCATCCACATGCCCCCCTCCACCGCATGTGACCCATGCCTCTTGCTTGTCCTCCCAGGCTGCCCCATTCCCCTACGGGCCTACCCCACTTCCTTGTGCCACAGTGCTGGTTGTGTAGGCAGCAGCAGCATATGAAATGTGACTGTACTGCACCGTTTCAGTCTGTGCGTGGCCTTTGCGAAACTGACGGCGAGGTTGGCAGGCCGTGAACTTTCTGGGTTGCTGGCCGGTGACAGAAGATGCGTGCGCTATGCTGATGACTGCGATCAAATGATACTGTACATGGGCGACAAGCACTGACATGGAATAAATTGCTTGTTTGGACCCATTATTTTTTCACCTACTAACAACTTTCGGTGTGTGTTCAACAACTTGTTTATGCCTTGATTGTTATTCAAGCTGCGTTTTATTGTAAGCTCTTCAAATCCTTAACCGCAGGACCCCAAGAATCAAACAAGGGTTCAAATTGCATGTAAAAGTGGAAAGCAGATCAGATGGCTATTGTATGGTATTACAAATGGAAGTGGAGGAGGTGAATTCGCTGACTGGACAGAAACTCAACCATTCTGTAACCGATGACGTTACAAACGAGCTTCAAAATCTTCCTGCCTTCACCTTTCTGCCTTACCCTCGACCTTGCCGAGCCGCTGCATCACCAATCCCTAAGCCACCCTAAAATGAGATCACGACCAATCCCTAAGGCCCTGACGCTGAGGCCACTAGCCAATCTCCGCGCTCCTGTTGTCCGCTTAGCCGCAGCCCGTCGAAGTATTACGACGGGATTAAAAATCGTAGGTCGGCTCAGTATGTTTTTGCTGCAGCCCATGGGATCCAAACCGGCTTGTCATTCCCCTCTGGCGTGTGCTACCCTGGAGACAGATTCGCATCCACGATGACGTGGAACAACAAAGCCAAGGTGTGACTGTCTTACCCGCATGATTGGGTTAGTTAGGAACTTGGTGGGCCCGACTGTACCACCGTGGCTGGTTCTTACGATATCCGCAGCCACGTCATCCACTGTATAGCGTCGCGAGAAATCTGGGATGTACCGTGGTTGCTTCGGACGCGATATGCAAGATTGACATTTTCAGTGGCAAACAAACAGCAACAAAGCTGCACCCTAGCTTCGGCACCATACCTGCGACTTCCGTAGCCAGCGGAACTCCCTCCTCTGGCTACCGCCGTCAGGATGACGGGAACGGGAATTTCGGGAATTGCCGTGGTTGCTGCGAATGCCATTGGATCTGCCAGATCGACATTTTCCGTGGCAAAACGGTATCTTAGCCTCAACACCATACCTGAAACTTCCGTTGCCAGCGGAACTCCCTCTTTCTGGCTATCGCCGTCAACTAGAGCGGCTCGTCAATTTTTGAAGCATCCTTTCAGAACCGACACCGCTCTCGTAGTCACGAATACAAAACCCCGTCTGACAGCAACACCATTTCAGTTGAGTCACATCGTTCTGTACTCACACAGCTGCCTCGAAGCTTTCTTTGCACCTGAGTGCTGATGGCCGTGAAAACCCTCGCTGCCTGCAGCAAGGCTGACCCCGACGACCTCTTCTACTGGGAAGAGGACCACGGGTCCGTCCCTGCTGCCTCCGCTTCCGCCTCTCCCAGCTGGAGCGATGCAGCACGCAAGCGATCCACGCCTGCTGCTGCTGCTGCTGCTCCAAGTGCCAAAAAGGCACGAATTTCTGAGGATTCGGAAGACGAATTCTCGTATATGAGCGAATTGGATCTGCTGGAGTTCCGCCAACGGTATCTTAACCCTGAAAGTATCTGCAGCAATGAAGGAAACGTGTCCTTCCTCTCTAAGGACGAGTTTCTCGCCTCCACAGGCAAGAAATCGCCTTGGATTATGGTTGAAAAAACTGGTGCCTGTAAGAATGATGTTAACAAGAGCAGCAGGAGCGTGATGGTCTGCACCTTCAGCTCCAGCAGTGCAAACAGCACGAGATGCGCATCTGTGCAGACTCCTGCTGCAAAGGGCAGCACAAAAGATTCAGAGAAAAAAAGCTTCAGCAAACATCAGGCCTCAGAAAAAAAGGATGGGCTCTCCAACCTGAGAAAAGCTTCAGCTGCTGTTGTCCCTGTTGACGCTGCTACTGCTGCTGCTGCTGTTAAGAACTCTGACATGAAGTCAAGGCAAGTGTCAAGCTCTGATAAGGAAGAGGCAGTACAGGTTAAAGTGGACGGGACAAAATCCTATAAAACATCAAATGGGAAGGCTAGAGGAACGAGGCGGATGAGGAGGTGGATGAGTAGAGCTTGGTCAAGTGTAGCCTTGAATAAGTGGCACAATGGCAAGTAAGGTAAAGCTGGTGGGGGTGATGTGGAACGATGGTGGTAGGGGTTCACCCCCTTTTTTCCATCCTGCCTGGCAGGATGTTGTGGGAATGATGGGAATGAATGGTGGATGGAGAGAAAGGAATGGTGTGGGTGCCATTTTAGAGTTGATAATCATGCTTGTTCTAGAAATCTCAAATATATGCATATTCTTTTCATGCACTGGTGTGGATGGGGGTGAATGGAGAGCATGGAATGGGAGAATGGTTGAGAGTGGCTGACCATGTTTCATCTTCATATGGGACTGATACAGTCTGGTCAGAGTATGCACAACCATCAAACAAACTAAGAATGGTGTTTTTGAGCAGAAAACCATGGTCAATTGTGCATTACAAATGGTGTCAGAAGATGGAGCGACGACATGAACGAACAACAATCAAAATCTGCACCATCAGGGCTACCATAACAGCAATGGTCATACCACAATCACAGAAATGATACTGTTGTTGATAATGTTCCTACTGTCATCATCCCACTGCCAAGTTCCTACAATCATCATCCCACTGCCATCTTCCCATATCATCAGGGTGGGGTTACAAGGGAAAGAAGATGGAGGGTTTGAGCTGAAGGGTGGTTGAGTGGGGGGAGTGGGGGAGAGGGGGGGAGAGGGGGGGAGGGACATACTGAGGCTGACAGACATGTCTTCTCATCCCATTGTCATACCCCACCCCATGGACAATGGGATGCTTACAGAATCTATTCCACTTCCATTCGTCTTCCGCTCGCCATTTCCGCTTTTTGGCTTCCCATTTCGCCATCCCTCTTCTCTTTGTAGTTCGTCATGCCAGCTTCCCGTTGGCAGTTTTCACATCAACTCTTCATTTCATGTTATCCTGTCATTTTGCTATTGCCAGTTCTCTTGTTAACTTTCCCCAGTGTCAATGATCCATCCAACTTGATGGCGTATGGATTGACTTGGGGCGGGATGAGTGAGTGTGACATGGAATGAGTGGATGTGATTTTGACATGGAACGAGTGGATGTGAATTTGACATGGAACGAGTGGATGTGAATTTGACATGGAACGAGTGGATGTGAATTTGACATGGAACGAATGGATGTGAATTTGACATGGAACGAGTGGATGTGAATTTGACATGGAACGAATGGATGTGAGTGTGGGATGAAATGGAGTCCCTCCTTAGAAAATCTGGGAAGGACACATATTGAGGCACCATTGCAAGGGTAACTGCATGATCACATCGCTCTCTCTCTCCCTTCCCATTTTCCAATCCACTTCACATTACCATTTTCTGCTCCCAATACCATTCCTTACAGTTGTAGTTTTCACTGTCAATCGCCCATTGTCCTTTTGTCCTGTCATCCTGCTGCCATTGCACTAGTTCATCCAGCTTCTCATTTTAAGCTCTCATACAATCTTTTGACAGCCATTTACCCAGCCGTTCCCTTTTTTCAAGCTACATCCCTCTACCTTTTGTCTAGCGGACTTGTCGATTGCTCTGCATGGTCCCCCCTGTTCCCGTTTTCCCTGTTACGTTCATATTTTGTTGTCAACTTGCCATTGCCAGATACGCAGAGCCATTTTCCTGTTGCTTGGCCATCCCCATGTTTGAGATGAAATGAGGTGATGTGAGTGTGGGCTGAAAATGAGGTGATGTGAGTGTGAGGTGAAAATCGGGTGATGTGAGTGTGAGGCAAAATGAGGTCATGTGAATGTGATGTGAAATAAGGTGATGTGAGTGTGAGATGAAGTGATGTGATGTGAGTGTGAGATGAAATGAGGTGATGTGAGTGTGAGAAGTAATGAGGTGATGTGAGTGTGAGGTGAAAATTGGGTGATGACCGTGTGAGATGAAATGAGGTGATGTGAGTGTGAGATGAAATGAGGTGATGTGAGTGTGAGATGAAATGAGGTGATGTGAGTGTGAGATGAAATGAGGTGATGTGAGTTTGAGATGAAATGAGGTGAAGTGAGTGTGAAATGAAATGAGGGGATGTGAGTGTGAGATGAAATGAGGTGATGTGAGTGTGAAATGAAATGAGGTGATGTGAGTGTGAGATGAAATGAGGTGATGGGAGTTTGAGATGAATCAGGTCCCCCCAATCGCATTGCTCCTGTGGTGCTGGGGAGGACACATGCTGGGGCACCAAAAGCAAGGAGAACTCCCATCGATATTGTTATCTCTGTCAATTGCTCTTTTTCCTTGTTGCCCAGTCAGCTTAACATTGCCACGCAAAGTTCTTACCTGCCATGCAAACTTTCACAACCATTTCCCCAGCTGGTTGACCACCTACCTTTCTGACGAGTCAACTTGTCAATTGCACTGCGTCACTCGCTGTTCATTGCCATTTTCTTTTATCATGCTGGGATTCTGTTCCCGTTTATCATGCTGGGATTCTGTTCCCGTTTATCATGCTGGGATTCTGTTCCCGTTTATCATGCTGGGATTCTGTTTCCGTTTATCATGCTGGGATTCTGTTCCCGTTTATCATGCTGGGATTCTGTTCCCGTTTATCATGCTGGGATTCTGTTCCCGTTTTCCTAGTAAAGCTTTGTTCGGAAGATTTTTCATTCTCACTTGTCTTCCCAGGTTCTCATGTGCCATTTTTGCGCTCAGTCAAATGCCCGTTGCTAATCATTTGTCCTTCCAACTTCTCATTGTCATCTAGAATTCATATTGCTATTCTCCACCTAATGCCTTTTATTTCCTGCCAAATTCCCAATGTGATTTTCAGACCTTTGGCAATTGTCGAAACAAACTTCCCATATCTTTTACTCATTGCTATTCTATTTTCCTGATCAGCTTTCCATTGCCCTTTTCCTGCACATCAGCCACTTCCTTTTTCCCATTGCAATTTCTTCTCTGCCGTTTCATCTTGACACCGTTCTCTCACACATTGGCCACTTCAGACTCGCCCATCTGCGTGTGTGTCCATCATCCCCGCACCTATCTCTCTGCCCACGACCTTTCCATCCCATGCCTGACATGCCCGCGTGGCACCACCCCACCCCACACTCTCTCCACTCATCCCTGCCCCCTGCCACGAGCCCTCCCTGGGCTTTTGACGCCCCTCAAAAGTTGCCTGCCATCAGCCATCCCTGGACCTCCACCCACCTCTCAATTCCCCTCCACATGTGTCAGCCATGATCCAAGCATACCTGCCAATGCATGTCAGCCAATGCAAGTCAACCAATGCAGCGAAAGAAAGTCAGCCAGTACAAGTTAGTCAATGCAAGTGAGGCAATGCAATGGCCAATCAATGTGTGCCATGCGATGCGATGGCGCTAGCAATCTCAGTCGCTGGCTTTCCATCTTTCTTTGACAGGTATAATGCAGTGAGGGCATGGTGGGTGGAGCATGGTATAAGGCAGTGAGGGCATGGTGGGTGGAGCATGGTATAAGGCAGTGAGGGCATGGTGGGTTGAGCATGGTATAAGGCAGTGAGGGCATGGTGGGTGGAGCATGGTATAAGGCAGTGAGGGCATGGTGGGTGGAGCATGGTGTAAGGCAGTGAGGGCATGGTGGGTGGAGCATGGTGTAAGGCAGTGAGGGCATGGTGGGTGGAGCTTGGTGTAAGGCAGTGAGGGCATGGTGGGTGGAGCTTGGTGTAAGGCAGTGAGGGCATGGTGGGTGGAGCATGAGGCATGGCATGGATTGTTCCAGGTGGGGATGGAATGGTAATCAGAATGGGAGGTGGAAGGATGAGAGGCATCTGTTTTCAGAGGTGTGCCATCCACTGCTGCCTTTGTGTGATTTGCCATGGCATGTTACTGCTGTCTTCAATGTATCATTTTCTCAGGGAGGCAGGATTAACTAGGTGAGATGCAATTCTACTTGTAATCCATGCAACTATCAAAGCTTCTCTTGGAAATCAGGCTTCGGTGCAGTATAATTGAGGTGATGTGAGTGTGAGATAAATTGAGGTCGCCCAAGTCGCATTGCTGCTGTAGTGCTAGGGAGGACACATGCCGATGCACAATTGCAAGGGGAACCCCAATCCACTTCCCATTACCAATTTCTGCTTTTCATCCCATTGTCATTCCTCGCAGGTAGTTCCTATCTGTCGTTTTTTTTCTAACATTTGCCCATTGCCCTTCTATCCAGTCAGCCTACCATTACACTTTGTGTGCCAAGTTCTCATTTCAGTTGTCATACAATCTTATCACGGCCATTTTCCCAGCCAATTGGCTATTGTTTGCCATTGTTCAAGCCTCTTCCCTTCACCTTTTATCTCGTCAACTTGTCGATTGTTTTTGCCGATTCTCTTTTGCCATTTGCCAAGTACAAGGCAGTGAGGGTACGGTGGGTGGAGCATGAGGCATGGCATGGCTTGTTCAAGGTTGGGATGGAGTGGCAAGTAGAAAGGGGGGTTGGAGGGATGCGAGACAACCTCTTTCAGAGGTTTGCCATCCACTGTTGCATTTGTGAAATTTGCCATGGCATGTTGTCATGCTGGTCCATGTCGCCAGTCAAATCACTTTTATTTGATGCAGAATGCCCGCTGAAATGTTCAGCTTCATCCAACAGAACTTCAAACAAAACGGTGTATACTGAATATTATTTTTGTCAAGACGCCTACTCTTTTACATGAATTTATAATATGGCCCTGGGTATTTTACTTGGAAGATAAAAGAGATGTTTCTGTTCTTTTAGTAGCAGCCGCTTGTACCAAATTGAGGCAGAAGCGTTTAGCGGGATTCCCGAACAGTCAGTCTGCTCCCAACCATCCTCCTTGCCCACATTCGTATGGTACTTGCGTCACTCAAGGCAGCGACTGTTGTCCTTGCTTGCGCGATTCAACACCACTGCCGGTGCGCTCAGCCATAGCAGCATTGCTTCCTTCCGCACATAGTTGCGAGCTTGCCTGCTGCCAAGAAAATGTCCCCTCCCCACCATCGCAAAGACGCGAATCGCTGACATGTCAGCGTGTGTGGCATGTGTGGTGACGTCTGTGACTCCGACCCAGCCTCCGTGTCGGTGGGCCGCGATGTCGTCGCCGCAGCCGCTGCACCCTGCAGCGAAGAGCGGTGGAGGCCAGGAATCCTCCCGCATACTAGTTTCCACACTGTATTCTCGCGTCTGTGTTATTGCAAGACCGAACTTTGAACGATTTCTATTAACCCGCCGAATCTGCCCCGCCAAGCCTTCCCCGATTAGGAACCTCGAAAATGGGTGTTCGGCGAGTGCGGAGACGATTCGGTGAAACTATTCGCCCGTCGAGCCATTGCGTTGCGGTGATCATAACCACGAGCGCTGCGACCGCGCCCAAGACCGGTGGTAACCCTAATTCGTTCACCCACAATGGCTTACCGTTCAACGGAGTCAACGGGGCCGACGGAGTCAACGGGGCCGACGGAGTCAACGCGGCCGACGGAGTCAACGCGGCCGACGGAGTCAACGCGGCCGACGGAGTCAACACGGTCAACGCTTCCTCAGACGCTCTCTGTGTTCGCCCGCCCGCAGCGCTCTCCTGCTCGCTCTCGCACGGCCTGTCGCTCTCGCTCCTCTCCTCGCTGACTGCCACGTGGCAGCACGGCAGACACCGCCTTCGAGCCAGGTAAGGTTGTTGCCGTTTCTCGCTCCTCTAGTCTGCCTCGTGCCCCTTTCTGTGCGTTGCCCTCTGCCGTTCGTTCCCCTTTGCCGTCCCTTGCCCTCTGCCGTTCGTTGCTCATACGCAATCTACTAATCACCACCTGCCCATTTGCCTCGCAGCACATTGGACGCATCTCAGTCGTTGGATGAGCCATCGTGGAAGAAGGCTCAATCAGGGTCGTTGCTGGAGGTGGGTAGGTTGGTGGGTGCGTGGCAAGCGCGGTGGTAGAGCTGGGGGCGATAGTGCGCATGGTTGTTGTGCTCTGCTCTGCACCACCAGTTGAGCCCATGGGAGTTGGTCCATGCCACAGCACAGATAATAGCTTCATCTGCGCCACACTGTTTCATCAATCACCCGCCTGCACTTACAACCACACGTCTCCTCTGCCGCTATGCCCATCCGCTTTCGCCATCCCACTCCTTCAACTCAATCCGCCCGCCCGCCCACTCCCGATTGCCCGTCGTCTTTTCCACCTCCCTGTTCGCACATAATCCTCTATCCATCCGCAATCAGCTCCTTCTCTAGCCGCTGCTCGAGGTCGCCCTGTCAGCCGACATTCCATCGTCCACATTTCCCTCCTCGTCCCCTTTTTTCTGCCACCGCTCAGTACTCCCTCGAAAACCCCTTTTCCCCATCCCCGTTCTCCCTTCCCCCTCCCCCCATCCCCTTTCGCTCCTTACAATTCCAGTTTTCCTTCTCCCCTCCCCCACCTGGTTTCCCCCATCCTCCACCCCCCTTCCCCTTACTACCTTTCCCCTTTCCCTTTCCTCCTTCCCCCATCCCCCATCACCGTTCCCCCGTCCCCTTCCCCTCCCCTTTCCCCGATACCCCACCCCATCCTTCATCCGCCAGCGCTTCCCCCTCAAGGCGGCGGCAACGGCGAGCGGGCTGGCCCTGGCGGGCGACACGCCCTGGCTGGCGCAGCTCGTGGAGCGACACCAGCACCACCAGCAGCGGCAGCGGCAGCAGAAGCAGAAACAGAAGCAGCAGCACCAAGCAGACACAGCGTGCAAGCTACGAGTGGCACGCGGCGGCTGCAGGCGAGGGCGAGGTGGCGGGGCAGCATGACTGGGTGCGCATGACATGGCGTCGCACAACTTGCTGCTGTACGGCCCCGCCTGCCACGCCTCGTACCGCTGCCTCCACCGCCTGCTGCCCGCCCCCACCGCCACCAACTTCGCCCTCAAGGTACTCTCTGCGCTGTACCGGGGGTGGGTGCAGCCTCCCTCACAAAGCACTGCCTCGTAGGCTCGCTCACTTAGAGACCTGCTTGCTGCATGCAGCTCCCATGTGCCCCCATGTTGCTGTGTGGCTCCCATAGCGACTGTGGGTACCAGCGGCAGTGGCAGAGAGTGGAGTCACAGCAAGATCCACATTCGCCACCAGCGGGTTTCATCCCTCGCCTCCGCGTCCCTCCTCCTGCTCCTCCTCCTCATCCTCCCTTCCCACCCCTCCTATGCAGGTGCTAGCGAATCAGGAGGTGGGGGGGCCGAGTGTGCTGCTGGTGGTGTTGGCATGGAATGGAACATGGCATGGATGGGTCGAGCCAGGGACATCCCAGACAAGTACCGCCGGGACTTCTTCCCCTCGCTCATCAACGGTACCATACGTGACTCGTGCCTCCTTTGGTAGAATCATGCGTTTTAGCTGAGTTCGTCTCTTTCTAATTCCCATCTCGTCTGCTGGTCACGTTTTGTTTGAAGCGAAGTATATTATTTTGCTATTACCACCCCAATCAACCCCTTGGTTCTCCCGTGCGAGCTTCCTCAGCCCTCCATTCCTTAGCTCATAACCTTGTAACTTGTTCAGAGCATGCCTGAAATGCAACCTGTGGCTCACCATGTCTGTCCGCGTCCCCCCTGGCTATTGATGTGTGTGTATCAGGCTGCAAGTTCTGGATACCGGCCTGCCTCAACTTCGCGTAAGCCTTCCTCTAGCATTGCCCCTGGCGTCCCCTCCTAAATTTCATTATTTATCACATGCTGGTTACCCTTGCCGCCTTATTCCTCCACCTTGTCCCCGTGTGCCTCTTGTACCGCACTCCACCCACCTGCACCTTAGTAGCTCCCCTGCTTCCTCTCCCTCTGCATGCACCCCTCCTTCCATGCCATGTGTGTTCCCTCTGCTTCCGTTTGCCTCACTGCTCCATTTCCTCCCCCTCTATCTGCATACCCGCTACAGAGTGGTGCCATTAGAGGCGCGCGTGGCCTTCAAGTCATGCTGTGCCATCTTCTGGAACTTCCACCTCTCCTCCTCGCTCGGCAAGGAAGCACCTCATCCAGCAACCCAACGCTCACCTCTTCCTGCTGCGCCTTTGCCTGCTCCTGCTTCATCTCTTGATTACTCTCCTACCGCCGTGGCTTTTGCTGGTTACCAAGTGTTGGCTGCTCCTTCGGTGTAGTTAGCAGAATGCAAAGCAGGGGCTTACGTCTGTGCCAATCATATGAAGGGGGCTGTAAATAAATTTAACATCAGGTTCATTTTCTTCAGGGGCGTTTAGTCTCTAGGCTTTGAAAACATGTGCAGTCGTGTGTAGGTTGAAAGCTCGCTAAAGGTGCTGGTCATTTCATCAAATGTTTTGCTAGACCCACTTAATTTCACAAATGTTTTTAACCTATTTGGAAGCCACTAGTGCAGATTTATTTCAGAAGTGCGGGCGCGCTTTCAGAGTGAAGCCATATCGCGTACAGTAGGAGCACTGGGCTAACAGCGGCGTGCATTATGCCGCGCAAATTACGATAGCCGCGGCTAGCAAGCTCACGGCAACGACAGCAGATTGGTCCGTCCGCACGGGTTTCTTCCGCCTAAGGCCTCCGCGAGTCGAGAAACTGTCGCGCGCGGGAGGCTTCGAGGGACATTCCGCCCATGATGGCTCCCACTGCCGCTGCCGCTCCAGCGCTGCCCGCTGCAGCGAGACCTCTCGCTACTGGCGCTCCCGTCTGTGAGACAACTTTACTTCGATATAGGAACATCTGCTTGCGAAGCAATGCTTCTTTCCGCGCGGGCGGCTCAGTCGGCGCGGGGCTAGTGCGGGCGTGCGCGTGCGCGCGCGCGGAGGGGACGACGGCGGCGGGCAGCGGAAGGGGAAGCAGGGCCCGTCTTTCGGCGATCAAATCCTTGACTATATCGAAGGTGCTGTTAACGAACACTGGAATGAAAGCGTTGTGCGTAACGGGAGGAAGCAAGGGGAATGGCACAAGCTCACTTGGATTACCCTCCGCTGACGTAAGCATTCCCATCATGCTGTCGTCATGTATTACGCAGGCATGAGCTGTAACGAGCAACGCAGTGTCTCTCAATCCCCCCTCTGCCCCTTAATGTGAACTCTCCATGCGTGTTCCCCCTATGCTCGTCCTGCCCCTCAATTACAATTGTCAAAAAGTGATTCACTGCGCTGTATCCGCCCCCATCTCTCCTGCCCCCCCCCCCCCCTCCCCCCCCCCCTTGGCCCCCTCCCTCCATGTTGCTCTCATCCCCCACGCCCCCTGAGCATCCGCCGCCTCCCTCCCTCCCTCCCATCACGCGCGCATGGCGTGGCTGCCGTGGTGCCATCCCAGGCGGCCCAAACCTAAGGCGCTGGGACGGCGCAGCACTCTGCCCAGAGATGGCGCTGGTGAGGCATGGGCGGGCGTGCTGTGCGGTGGAGCGGAGTGGAGGGGCGGAGTGGGGAGGGGCCGAAATGGGTGAGGAAGAGGGGTGGGGCGGAATGAGTGTGTGGATGTGGGTCACACTGATGTCTAGCTTGCTAGACCCAACCCATCTGTATCTGTTGGCGTGGAGGCGTCTCATAGCAGCTGTGCACTCACCACCACCCACCACCACTCACCGCCACTCACCGCCACTCACCGTCACCCCACTTCCACCCCCCATCCGCCACCGGCCCTGCACCCGCTTCCATGCGTCCACCTGTCAACCCTCCATTTCACACAGACGGGGACGAGGAGGACGAGGAGGAAGAGGAGGACGAGCAGGCGGAGGGGGAGGAGGCGGGAGAGGGGGGAGGGGATGCATTGTTGGTCACGGATGCTGACTCGGACACAGGCCAGCTGATTCTCAAGTGACTGCTGCTCAGCTGATTCTCAGGTGACTGTTGAACTGTGGATGGTGTTTTCAGTTCAGGTGGTGTTAGTTGATACCTCTCCTCTCACCAGTTTTGCCCTGGAAGTGGTGTAGGGCTTTGGGAGGGGGGGAAGTTGAGTTGATTGAATGGTATACCGTGGCGTGGATGCCAGTACCAGATGGCAACCTCCTTGCAATGCCTCTTGAAAGCCGCCCCACACCACTCCTATGCTTCCCCTCACCCTCTTGCAATGGGCTGCCGGCTCACAACTCTTCTGTCCCTCCCTTGCGCTCTCGCATCTCATCCCACCATGCTCGCAACCAGCACGAATCAACAAGCCTCCTTGTCGCTTCTAAGAATTCTCAAAGGTAACACCTCCTTGTCTATCTGTGTGCCTCCCCTTCGCCCCCTCACGCCGGCCCCTCCCGCCCTCTCCCGCCCTCTCCCTCCCTCCCCCGCCCTCCCGCTTGGATGGTGGCTGGCATTGCAGCGCAGCTCATCCCAGTTCGCTGGAGAAAGAAGAGGGCGAGAGAGAGCGTGGCAGCGAGGCAGCGTGAGAGCACTGCAGCGCAGCTCATCCCAGTGCCCGTCTAGCACTTGCTTCTCTCCCACCCACCCGCACGTATCATTCACTACCACTCTCCCTCCCTACCTACCCCTCCCCTTCTCGCCCCACGCCAGCTGGTGGGGCGGCACCACCTGTGTGGCTCATGCTAGCGTGCAGCAGAGTGAGGGTGCCGGTGAGGGGCGTGGCGCAGTATTGTGTCTCATTCTCTCCCATCCTCCTCTCCCCTCCCCTCCCCCTTCTCCCCCCCTTTTATCCCCACTCATCCTGGCGCGCAGGAGGGTGAGCGTGCTCGTGAGGGATGCAAAGGAGGCCACTGCTGGTCGTGAGGGATGCAAAGGAGGCCACTGCCGGTCGTAAGGGATGCAAAGGAGGCCACTGCCGGTCGTGAGGGATGCAAAGGAGGCCACTGCCGGTCGTGAGGGATGCAAAGGAGGCCACTGCCGGTCGTGAGGGATGCAAAGGAGGCCACTGCCGGTCGTGAGGGATGCAAAGGAGGCCACTGCCGGTCGTGAGGGATGCAAAGGAGGCCACTGCCGGTCGTGAGGGATGCAAAGGAGGCCACTGCCGGTCGTGAGGGATGCAAAGGAGGCCACTGCCGGTCGTGAGGGATGCAAAGGAGGCCACTGCCGGTCGTGAGGGATGCAAAGGAGGCCACTGCCGGTCGTGAGGGATGCAAAGGAGGCCACTGCCGGTCGTGAGGGATGCAAAGGAGGCCACTGCCGGTCGTGAGGGATGCAAAGGATGGTGGGTGGCTGGGTGGTGGGTGGTTTGGTGGCTGGATGGTGGGTGAGGGGTGGGTGGGTAAAGTGGGTGTGTGGGTGTGTGGGTGGGTGGGTGGGTGGGTGGGTGGGTGGGTGGGTGGGTGGGTGGGTGGGTGGGTGGGTGGGTGGGTGGGTGGGTGGGTGGGTGGGTGGGTGGGTGGGTGGGTGGGTGGGTGGGTGGGTGGGTGGGTGGGTGGGTGGGTAGGTGGGTGGGTGGGTGGGTGGGAGGAGCATGTGGTGCTTGTATGACAGGTGCGCAAAGCGTGCAGCAACATGTGCTGTGCAACTGGTACAAGTGGGTTCGTTCGGACACAGAAGGCTCTGTTTTTTTAGTCGGCTTCATGCTTTGATTATTCCAGGCACACTGTCTGAAGCTGTGTAGGTGCCACTGGAATGGAAAGAGGCGACTGTAACGCCACTCGGAAAGCACCCAACCCTCTTCGATAAGCTTGGTCGTTTGATCACTCCCATCTCTCCACCTGCGCCCTCTCTGTCCCATCCGTTTCTCCTCGACTCTCCCCGTCTCTCCCCGCCCTCCCTCACATCGGCTGGCAGCCTCCTCGCGCCCCTCGGGTCTGGCGGGGCTGCTCTGGTCCGCCTCGCCAATAGCAGCAGCTGACGCCGAGGCAGCACTCGCTGCTGCTGCTGTGGCAGCAAGCGGTGACGGTGAGAGGGGAGCAGCCGGGGAGGCGCGGAGGCGGGGCTTTGGGTGCACGGTGGTGCGAGGGGGGAAGGTGGTGCGAGGGGGGAAGGTGGTGCGAGGGGGGAAGGTGGTGCGAGGGGGGAAGGTGGTGCGAGGGGGGAAGGTGGTGCGAGGGGGGAAGGTGGTGCGAGGGGGGAAGGTGGTGCGAGGGGGGAAGGTGGTGCGAGGGGGGAAGGTGGTGCGAGGGGGGAAGGTGGTGCGAGGGGGGAAGGTGGTGCGAGGGGGGAAGGTGGTGCGAGGGGGGAAGGTGGTGCGAGGGGGGAAGGTGGTGCGAGGGGGGAAGGTGGTGCGAGGGGGGAAGGTGGTGCGAGGGGGGAAGGTGGTGCGAGGGGGGAAGGTGGTGCGAGGGGGGAAGGTGGTGCGAGGGGGGAAGGTGGTGCGAGGGGGGAAGGTGGTGCGAGGGGGGAAGGTGGTGCGAGGGGGGAAGGTGGTGCGAGGGGGGAAGGTGGTGCGAGGGGGGAAGGTGGTGCGAGGGGGGAAGGTGGTGCGAGGGGGGAAGGTGGTGGAAACTTGTTTCTCTCTTGGCTCAGCTCCCCACCTTCCCACTCCTTTTTTCCTCTCCTCCTCTCGTCCTCTCTTCTCCTCTCCGCTGCCCACCATAACGCACGCAGATCCAGCAACTATTATGTGCCTCTCATCCCGCAGTGCTCTCCTCGCACCCCCCCATACATCAGGTCAGAGCGACACAGTGAACGAATTAAGTGTCAGGAGGAGAATGTGGCAGTGGTGGTGGTGGCGGCAGCGCCAGCTGTTCTTCCTCCCCTCTTCCAATCCCCATGCTCTCGTCGCATCAGGTCTCCCCCCACCACCCTTCAGGGCGGCGCCACGAGGGGCAGCGTGTCAAGGGAGTATCTGGCAGCCGTGGTGGCGGCAGCGCTGGCAGTGCCACCGCCCTCCCAGCACAGACGCATCATTGAGGTGGGCGTGTGGGTGGGTGGGACGTGTTGAGTGGGATGAGTGTGTGGGTGGTGTGGGATGTGGGTGGGATGGGCGTGTGGCGACGGCGGGTGTACTTGATCGTGTAAAAGTGTAGGCGGCTGCAGTTTGGAAACTTTTCTTTCAAGGTTTATGATCAGTTAACAGCGTTAGTTGAAAGTTTCTGTCGTCAAAGCACAATTAGAAACACTGCTGGGAATGCCATGATCCACCAAGAGCCATTTCTGTCACTCTCCCGACTTCTCTCCCCTCATCTCTCCCCTGATGTCTCCCTTTTACTCTCACACATGCTGATGGCTCCACCCCAAGCACGTCCAGCAAGCAGACCAGACCTGCAAGGCCAATTTCAACACCTTTCACGCTCCCTCCCGCTCCTGTGAATCCCATGCAAGGTGGTCAACTTCGATTCCCCAAAGGACTCAAACGATGGATCTGATTTCTCACAGCAAATAGCTGGGCTCCCCACAGAGCCAATCGTACGCTGACACGTGGATGCCACCCGCGCCATTCTTGCGGACGAGATATGCAGGAAACTCATTCCATTGGCGTCTTGTAGAGTGGCTGCTCTTCTGCTAGATGGGCTATCGTGCGGTGGACGGTGGAGAAAAAGGTATAGGAGAATGCCGTGGCATGTGATGTGATGTGAAACACAAGCTAGCTATGAATGAGCAGCACAGTGCAGCTTGACAATAGTGTGTGAGCGAGTACACCCTCCTTGCCTTAGCAATGTATAAATAAGACTCCAGTGTTTTAATGGACCTTCGCCAAATTCAGTGATTTTGGGGCGCCTGAAGTACGTATGAAAAAGAATACTGGTGGTGTTGCGATGCAAACGCATGAAGACATTGTCAAGCATGAAAATGGCATCACATTGCCGAACAGACGGACGCCCCCCCACAAATGTAGAGATGTTGCGTGCCAAGAGGAATGCCACACACTGATCCCACACACATGCTAGACTGCTGCCTTCCATCAACGGTACCTGCCTTGTGACATCAGCTGGTGATGTGATGTCGCCACCACATACCCCCCTGCAAGTGCTCATGTGGAACACCTCTGAAGGAAAACCAGTTGCTCCCTACAGTGGTTTCACAGAGGCCAGTGGCAGCATCAGCCAGGTCCCATCCTCATGCCTGACCTACTGCAACAGCCCTGCATGAGGCACTACAACACACATATACAGGATGGGTTAATGCGTATGCATGAACAATGCGAGAGCGCATGGCGTTCAGCATGCCGTTTACCCTTGAGTGTGCACATTATTACTGGTATCTTTGCTCCTCACTCTCATCCTTCTGGTTTCAATCTGAAATTCCTGTGCCTTACCCACTTCCTCACACTCACATCACCTCATTTCATGTCACACTCACTCACCTCAACTCATTCCATCTTAATATCAACTCATCCCATCTCAATATCAACTCATCCCATCTCAATATCACTTCATCCCATCTCAGTATCACCTCGTCCCATCTCAATATCACCTCATCCCATCTCAATATCAACTCATCCCATCTCAATATCACTTCATCCCATCTCAGTATCACCTCGTCCCATCTCAATATCACCTCATCCCATCTCAATATCACCTCATTCCATCTCACACTCCCATCACCTCATCCCACCCCAGGTCATCCTAGACTGCATGAGCACCACAACCATCAAGCTGGCTGGACAAGGGACAATGGGGGAAGCTAACAGGAGAGCTGGCAATGACAAGCTGACTGGAGAAAAAGACGTGAAAATGGAAAATTGATGAGAAAAATGGCAATGGGAAGGTGGCAGGACAAGTAACAAAAAAAAAGTGGATAGGAAATATGGGCACATCTGTAAGCCTCGCAACGTCACCCCGTTCCTTCCTGCTGCATTCCTCCTCCTTCCCTTCTAACCCCTCCTTGATAACAGTGGGATGGCAGTGGGATGATGATAGTGAGAACATGGCAGTGGGATGATGAGAATGGGAACACGGCAGTGGGATGATGAGAATGGGAATAAGGCAGTGGGATGATGAGAATGGGAATAAGGCAGTGGGAGTATAAGTCAAATCTAATCCATGGGCCGTCTTTTTCGTGACGACCTCTGTTCATTCCCAAGCGGTAATTATTCATTCTTCATTCATGTTGTATTCTGTTGTCATTCCAATCATTTTTTGCAATTCTGACCACTGGCCTTGTTTTCGTTGATACATCACTCTTATCATTCTCAACAACCAAATAGTTTCTAAGACTGTGTTCAGCCTGACCGATTCTTGTCATCATGGTCTACAATTCTATCGATGTTCATTTTTGTCATAGGTCCATGTTCTGACCACTGAAATTCAGCACTGACCATGCTTTTCCGTTTTACCTCACCATGATTGTTCAATGATGGAAAAGTTTGTGTATAATTTGCTCAGACAGTAAGGGTCCCATCTGAGCATGAAACATGGCCAGCATACCTCATGAATCTCTATTTCACACTCATTCCGCCATTCTGTGCTCTCCATTCAACAAAATCCATACTAGAGGATGAAATGATGATGCATTTATAGAAATTACTACAACAGGCAGTACTACCAAGTCTAAAGTGACATCCGTGCCATTCCTTTCTCTCCATCCACCATTCATTCCCATCATTCCCACAATATCCTGCTAGGCAGGATGGAAAAAGGGGGTGAACCCCTACCACCAGCATTCCACATCACCCCCACCAGCTTTACCTTAGATGCCATCATGCAACTTATTCAGGGCTACACTTGACCAAGCTCTACTCACCCACTTCCTCATCCGCCTCATCCCTCTATGCTTCACATTTGATGCCTTATTTGCTGTTGTCCCATTTACCTTTGCCGCATTATGCTTTTCAGAATTTGGCATATGCTTGGACCTAGTATCACAGTTCTTGGCAGCAACTGCAGCAGTAGCAGCATCAACAGGGACAACAGCAGCAGAAGCCTTTCTCAGGTTGGAGAGCCCAACCTTTTTTTCTGAGGTCTGGCATTTGCTGGAGCATTTTTTCACTGAATCTTTTGTGCTAGATTTTACAGCAAGAGTTTGCACAGATGCGCAGCTCGTGCTGTTTGCACTGCTGGAGCTGAAGGTGCAAACCATCACGCTCCTGTTGCTCTTGTTAGCATCATTCTTACTGGCAGCAGTTTTTTCAACCATAATCCAAGGCGATTTCTTGCCTGTGGAAGCGAGAAACGCTTCCTTTGACAGGAAGGACACGTTTCCTTCATTGCTGCAGATGTTTTCGGCATGCAAGTACCGTTGACGGAATTCCAGCAAGTCCAGCTCGCTCATATACGAGAATTCATCTTCGTCATCTTCAGAAAGTCGTGCCTTTTTCGCACTTGGAGCAGCAGCAGCAGCAGCAGCAGCAGCAGCAGCAGCAGGCGTGGATCGCTTGCGTGCTGCATCGCTCCAGCTAGGAGAGGCGGAAGCGGAGGCAGCAGGAAGATAGTGGCTTTTCAGTCCTGCTGGAACGCATTCGTGGTCCTCTTCCCAGTAGAAGAGGTTGTCGGGGTCAGCCTTGCTGCAGGCAGCGAGGGACGGCCATCAGCAGTCAGGTGCAACCTCGAGGCTTGATTAGAGGGGTAGCAAAGGGCTGTGAGTAAACAACAATGTGATTCAACTGAAATGAAATGGGTGTCAGACGGGGTTTTCTACTCGTGGCTACGAAAGCAGTCCGTCCTGACAGGATGCTGCTGAGCGGTTTGTTTCCAAACGAGCCGCTCTAGTTGACGGCGAAAAAAGGGGTTCCGTAGGCAACGGGAGTTCCAGGTACGGTGCCGAAGCTCTAGCGTTTAGGTTTGGTGCCTGGCCGTTTGCCTCGGAAAATGTCGACCTGGCAGATCCAATGGCATCCGAAGCAACCGGTGTTTGCGAGATACCCGCGATGCTCAAATGTGAATGAACGTGTGTATAAATATCGTGAGAACTCGCCACGGTGGTACATTTGGGCCCACTGATTTTGTTTCAGTGGCTTGAAATGCTCCCGCGTCGAGTTTTTAGGCCTTGGAAGGTAAGCCAGTCGCACCTGGGCATGGTTACGCCATATCATCGCTGATGCGAATCCGACTCAGATTTGTTCTCTGGCGGCGTGGAATGACATGGCGTGTGGGTCCCATGGGCTGATCGAAGTATTTACTGATCCGACCTGTGCTAATCGAACCCGATGTGAGACTACGATTGGGCTGCGGCTAGCAGGAACGTTGAGTTTGGCTAACGGGTTCAGCGCCAGGAACTTGGGAATGGCTTGCAAGCTGATTCTAGGGTGACGCGAGACGCGGCAAGGTCGAGAGGGTGTGGAGGGTGGTTGTTATGAGTTGTAATGAAGAAGAGTGCGCAGGATTCAATAACGCGGAAGCGATAACAACTACTGACTGAATAATGAAGCCTAGCACTTATATAGCGAGAACTAGCTAGGCCGAGGTTGCGGGACCGCGAAAGGTCCGGAGCAGGTTCGGGTTGGGAAGACCCGAAGGCGACGCGTTGATGGTTCGGCGGGCGAGGTCAGCGGACCGAGCCTGGAACTCCGAAAGTTGGGGCTGTACGCGTACAGTGTGACTCAGTAAGGAATTGGGAAAAATCCTTACACTACCCCCCCTTTTAAGAAAGGTGGTGTATATCCGGGGCACGCCGGCGAGTCAAATACTCCTGCAGAATCGGGTGTCCTTGTAGCGAGTCCGCGGCAACATACGTGTCATCGTCGCTCGTGCGATCCTTCCAGCGAAGCAGGAAAACGACGTGGCGTCCCGTGGCCGTCAGATTGACTCGGTGGTTGAGGATCTTCCATGTCTCGAGTGTCGGGTCTGCCACTGGGCGGACACTTGGGGCGATACTGGGTCGGGCGATATCGGATGATCGTGGCGCGAAATGTCGCAGCAGGCTGACGTGGAATGCGTCATGAATTTTCCAATCATCCGGCAGTAGTAGTTTCGCCGTGACAGGTGTCAGCATTTTGAGAATGCGAAACGGGCCCACGTAACGGGGACGAAGTTTTGCTGGTTGGGGCAGTCGAAGGTTCTTCGTGTCCAGAAGGACTATCTGCCCGTCGATGAAGGGTAAATCCCTTCGATGCTTATCAGCGTTACGGCTAGCGACCGTATTTGCTTTTCGGATAAACTCTGCTGCTTTGTCACGGGCTGCCTGTAGTTCCGTGACGAATTGCTGGGACCGAGGGACCGGGTTGTCAGGAGTCGTTGATGAGGGTACCACGGGGTCCATCCCGTAATTTAGGAAGAATGGCGATTGGTTGGTCGTGGCGGAGGGTGCGTTGTTAAACGCGAACTCCAGCATGGGAAGTGAGTCTTCCCATTTGGCCATGTCGGGGCAGTTGGTCCGTATCAGCTGCTCCATGGTCTGATTGGTTCTCTCTGTCTGACCGTCAGTTTGCGGGTGGTAAGACGACGAAAACTGCAGGCGTGTGCCGTACTGTGCCCACGTCTCCTGCCAGAACTTCGACGTGAATTTCGGATCTCGATCGCTGATGATCGCCGAAGGTA